TGTTTTGTTTTTCTGTACGAATATAAATTTCATATTGGTGTGAAATACCTTAATTGAACCATTTTTCTTTTTATTAGCATGAGGGAAATTTTGAGTAGCAACAACCTACATATCTATCAAATACAAAAAAATTATAAAAGTCAAAATATTAATTCACTTACCAACTTTATCATTCTACCCATCTAAATTCTTCTTCATTTTGAAAATTAATTTTAAAATATTTGATAAGTTGCTTAATCTTAGCTTACTTAATAGTATCATCATAAAAAAACTGTGTGAATTAAATGGTACATAATATCTTTAAAATATTTCTATATTTACATCCTAATATCCCCTGATTCCACCTTACAAATAATATATTTAAGTTAGTTCCTCCTTATGTGGTAAATGCACAATAGAATTTAACAATCAAATGTAACTCTATATAAAAAATTAAATATATTATATTATATTAAATCATCAATCATTATTGCATGTGATTTTCAATCTGACATATGGTCTAAAACTGAATTCTTAAAAACTATCATCCAATTCTTCATATGTTGCATACAACTGAAAGACCATTTTTATGATCATTAAAAACAAATGTGATTTACAATAAGAATTATAAACATTTAAAGATTTCACTTTAAAATAAATGAAAACTTTACCTTATAGTGATTAGTTCCAAAAGTTGCATCAAGACAAAACAAATTATTATTTGCAAATTTTACCATCTTTTGCAGTTGCCAAGTTATTTGAATCTCAATAGTAAAACAATATTTATCATCTAAATACTTTCTTAGGATTTGTGTTCTTCTAAATACGTACACTCTTCCAACTACATACACTTTGTGTATTATTATTGAAGAAAGTCATTTAAGATCTATTATGAGGTCTAAGAGTTCCATGAAGAGGATTTTTTTTGTGCAAATGATTTAGATTCAGATTTTTCTAAATTAAATGAAATTATAGCTCCTATTATGTATATATTACACAAAGATTTGAATAAATTTCTAGATGGTGAGAGAAAGGGTGATAAGGTGAAATTTTAGCAGTTTTCCAACAAAATTCAGGATCATAGAGATTTAAAACCAGAAAAAAACACAAGTTTTTTATCATTAATCAGATATTTTATTTAATAACAAAATATAATTAGAAATATTTTGACACAAGTATTGGTGTGAATATGGAAAATAAAATGCTCATGAAACATCTATTACACTTAAGTAAACTGGATCAAAGTTTTAACAAATGGAGCTGCAATGTTTTGGTCAAAATGTTTTATAAATACTAATTATGATCATAGAGAACATTATGATACAAATGGGATTTCTTGTCATGGTCAACTTGATCCAATTGAAGAAATTCATATGATCTAGCAGGATTTTACATCAAATTAAATTTATAATGAGCATATGCAAATTGTGGGAAAGGACAAATCAACCAATGAACCTTTTTGTTAGGATAATTTTCTAATTATGCAACATATTAACAAATTGCATAAAAAGTATTTACTGTCAACTTATCAACTACATAATCAATATCAAGATAAGTTATTTGTTTTCTTCTGGAAACTGATATGTTTCCACCATGATCGATCATGGAAAAACCATAAAAAAATTTAGGTCAATTAAATTTAAGTCTGCAGACAGGTAGGTGTTTTGATGCCTTGAATAATCCCCAGAAAGTCACAAATAAATGCAAAGTCATTACCAAAGTAAGTGGAGAGAGTGATATAAGATGGTATTTAATAACAGGTAACAATGAGCATGTGTGGTAAGACAGCATTTTTTTTGAGTATATATGCTCTATATATGACATGATCTTAGGTTGCAATAGTGCCACCTCACTGATCCAGGTGTGGCATGTCTCTTGATCAGTATATTTGGCTATGATATTCTAGCTATCCCTAAATCATCCTTTTCTGTTGTATCTGCTGCATATCTCTTCAATCTTTGGTGAAGATTGCAGTAATTGCAGGCACCTGAGTTTACAGATTGCATCGGGGTATTCGACCTACACGCTCATTCCACCATTTTTGGCAATCTTGCACTATTGAGTGTCAATTGATCATGTCAAAATTGAAAGAGCCGAAAATGTATCTATTTCCAAAGCTTTTACAAACTCAAAGTTCAATAGAACCTAGTCTGTGGTCAAAATGGAAGACAAAAACTCTGAAGCATATATAGTAAGATTATATATACTACAAGAAAAGTGGTAAATGCTACATTGTCTCTTCTCACTGGTAGGCTCTTGACATCTCTTGGGCAATCCAGCACACCCGATCGATCACGCAGCAGTAGGGATCAGCTCAGCCATTGGGAGGTATTATCCATTTAAAATTAATTGTTATTAGATCTGTGTGCTGCTCTAGATTGTCCACAGCCTGTTCTAGAGGCTTGAATCGGTAAGTAGTGATTCCTGCCATCTTACCGACGTTTTCCTGGAGACTGAAGATAGAGCTTTGATTTGTCGCAAGGAAGTGCGCACTGAACGGTGGTCATTTCACCGACTTTATTAACTGTTTCTTCATATCGCTCCTATTTAAAGGCGCTTTCAAAGAACACGTTGTAGCCAAAATTTGCAAAACAATCCCCAAGAGGAAACTTAGAGGAGCTAGCTGCAGCGCTTTTGACGTCCACTCCCATGGCCAGCACAGCAACATGGCGAGAACCGAAAACAACACCAAGCAAGCCTATGATCAACGAACTCTAGTATATTCGAGAGAAGTGATTTGATCTGTGAGGCCGCTCGTATTTATAGCTCGAGGCAGTATACAATGCCAGAGTGGTGCCTCTTGGGAACTTTGTCCTTTGAAAGTTATTCGAGGAAGTCGTTCCGTATTTGTCAATTCCTTTTCTTTTCTATAATGCTGGGACATAGAACAACACACGAAATGAAGCTGTGAATCCAGATGAGTAAAGACATCATTCTAGTCTTTTCACCATTGCTATAGATTTCACTGCCACTGAAAAGAATAAAAATCCAATAAATAGTTGGATCTTGACGATCTCTGGAAGAGAAGTGTGTGTCATTTCATTTTCGATTGTGTTTTATATACGTGGTTGGTGTATGTAATTGCTAGACTTTGTCTTGGGAAAGAGATCAGATTCGTTGAAAAACTTGTCTCCACTACTGCTTCATATTTCCATCTGGTTGCTTTTCTAAGTTCCACGTCGAGACTAAGATGGCAGACTGTCCACAACTTTCATTGATAAAAATATATATGACTTTAGTTAATATTATATAATATAATTTTGAGCCCAGATAGATTGACTTGGCTTTCTTTCTATTTTATTTGTCATGTTCTAAATTATCCTGTCATTCTGGTTCAAGTTTTTTGACTGAGTATATCATGTTTCTATATATTAAAAGTCCATACATTGCGAACGTTACACTGCAACAACAACTCTCCAGAAAACGCACCATATTTATCATTGACAGTCCCAGACCCAGGGCATCAAAGACGAATAGACTCCAAAACATCTTCGTTCACTCTTATTCTACATATATCTCATCCAGGCTGTCAACCCAACTTTTCATGATTCGAGATTCGCTCCCGTGGTTCTTTGAGGCCCGAGGCTCGCGAACTTTGGCAATTCTTCAGCAGATGCAGCGGCTGCCATTCCAGCGCCACCCTCGATGGCAGTTGTTGTCATACCCGTACCAATTGCATTGCACGCAGCGAAATCCATTCCAGTACCAAGCGCTGCGCCATCGCCTTGGTTGTGCCTGGGCCTGGATTTGATGCTCCAGTCGAGTCTTATTGCTTGCCGATCATTGGAGCAATCGATTGGAAGTCGTGGGATTTGGAGAAGAGAGAAGGACCAAGGACAGATTCAGACATTTTTTATCAAGGCTTGGACAATTTATATTTTATTGCTGGAACTCATGCAATACTATGCAACATCGCACGATACAGAAAACACGTTATCATTGTCTTTATTCTTGTTTCCAGACCCTTGGCACTGCAGAACGATAAAATCAAAGGCAATTACGATGCTGATTCTTAACTTGGGCTTACCCCGTGAAACGAGAGGTTTCAGTTGCGCGAGCAGCGATTGTTGCGCCAGCTCCAACCCTTCTGGCAACGGTGGCAACTGTTGTCATACCAATACCACCCCGACTGGCAGCGCTGGGCAGCAGCCTTTGCGAGTCCTCCCACGTCCACGCCCATGGCCAGCATCATCACAAATATGGCGAGCGCCAAAAACAACACGAAGAAAGCCTTGTTCTCCATGATTTGCTGCTAGAGAAGTAAGCTTGTTATATTAGAGAGAAGTGGTTTGATTTGTGAGGTGGGAGGGGCTTGTATTAATAGCTCGAGCCAGCACACAATGCTAGAGAGTTGTTGTGGGACGGCATTGCTTAGTCGTTATCTATTTTGGTTCTGTGTTTGAAAATTTCTTCTCTTTCTATAATACTCATAAATCTCTCCAACCCTTCAAATGAGAATCATTCGTTGCTAAAACTTCACAAGTTCGTACTACAAACTTGCAGATAGAGAAAGCCATGGAGTTTAGCTCGAAAAGATGAAAACAATGAAAGCAACACATGTTCTTGTAAGACACACCACTTTGCATTAGCCGCGTGTGTGCAATATCATCAGTTAAATATGGGACGGTTCAGATCATGTTAGATCGACGGCTTTGATTTAATTAATACGTACACCGTGGGCGGCTCAGATTGTATATAAATAAACGGTCCAGAATGTTTTAAATGCACGGTCTAGATTGTACATGTGACTGTCCAATAGACGGCCCAGATTTCAAGTTCTCAGATCTTATAGATTTTAAGAATATACTATTCTTCTATTTGTACGAAAAGGATTTCGTTCTTAGCTTTCAGAACTTTAATGCCCTAAAAAAGGGGAAGTAAGCAAGCAAACTTGAGCACGATGGTAAGCAAGCAAACTTGAGCTGAAATACTGCGACTTTTTCGTAAGCTTGATCTCTGACTATGGCTCGCAAAATCTCCACGCCCCCGCCCATGCCACCTCACCGAAGCACACAAAGAGGATGCCGCCGCCCAAACCATCACCAAAGACGGCGCTGACAACTTCATCTCTGCCACCAAAGAGGTATCCACCGGCACCAGCCAAGAGGCACAGTCAGTCACCAGCAAAGCCCACAGAGGGACATCACTCACCAGCAAAGCCACCACCGAGCTCTCCTGAGCATCATGGAGCTGGACATCCACTACCGAGCTCTCCGCCCACCAAGGAACATCCAGCAGCTGAGCCAAATAGGCACCATGGACATCGACGAGCTGATGATGGAGCTGCTACAGGGCCGCCACCCTCTTCTTCGCCGCCCAACAAGGCCGACACTGTAACCTGGCGACCAAGGAGGGCCGGGCCGCCATCGCCACCACCTTCGACCATAACAAGGCCCCTTGGCTTGGGCACCTCTCCGCCTACTGCGCCGTCAGCACCATCTTCAGCAGCAGCTGCATTCGTGGCATCACCTGGTGTGCTCGTGGCAGGCATCGTTGTGCTCCTGCTCGCACTGGTAGCCATCGTCACTGGAGTCTGGATACTCTTGAAACGGAGAAGGAACAAGGTGCATGGCGACATTATCCTGGTGGAGTATGGCCATCAGCCTGGCGGTGGCAACAGCGGCAGCAGCAGCAGCCAGGAGCACCTCATTACCAAAGTGGAGCCTCGACCATCATCGCAGTTGAATGCCGGCAGGAAGATGGTGGATGTACAGCTCCATGGTGCTCTGGCTTTGTTGGTGAGTGATGTCCCTCTGTGGGCTTTGGTGGTGAATGACTGTGCCCCTTGGCTGGCGCCGGTGGAGACCTCTTTGGGGGAGATGAAGTTGTCGGCGTCCTCTTTGACGATGGTTTGGCCGGCAGCATCCTCCTCGCGTGCTCCCGGTGAGGCGGAGGGGGCGGTGGCGTGCGAGCCATAGTCAGAGATGAAGCTTACCAGAGAAAGTCGCAGTATTTCAGCCAAGCTCGCTGCTTACGAGAAAACTCGCGCTAAAGTTTGCTGCGCCTTTTTTAGGGCATTAAACTGTCTACTGGGTAAACGAATGGTAAATATATCCTTTTCGTATAAATAGAAGAATAGTATATTCTGGAAAGCTAGTCACAATCTAGACCGTGCATTTAAAACATTCTGAACCGTTCCTTTACATACAATCTGAGCCGTCCACTGTATACAATCTGGGCTGTCGTAATATTTAAATCAAAGCCGTCGATCTAAATTGATCTGAACCGTCCCATATTTAAATGATGATATGGCACACACGTGGCAAATGCAGGGATTCTTCGGAACTTGGAATGGCTATTTTCTGGAACTTAATGATCCTCATGTAGAGATTTTATGTGGATCCCAGCATTATAGAAAAGAGAAGAAATTCTCAAACACGGAATCAAAATAGATAAGAACTCCGTCCCACGACAACTCTCTAGCATTGTGTGCTGGCTCGAGCTATAAATACAAGCCCCTCCCACCTCACAAATCAAACCACTTCTCTCTAATATAACAAGCTTACTTCTCTAGCAGCAAATCATGGAGAACAAGGCTTTCTTCGTGTTGTTTTTGGCGCTCGCCATATTTGTGATGATGCTGGCCATGGGCGTGGACGTGGGAGGACTCGCAAAGGCTGCTGCCCAGCGCTGCCAGTCGGGGTGGTATTGGTATGACAACAGTTGCCACCGTTGCCAGAAGGGTTGGAGCTGGCGCAACAATCGCTGCTCGCGCAACTGAAACCTCTCGTTTCACGGGGTAAGCCCAAGTTAAGAATCAGCATCGTAATTGCCTTTGATTTTATCGTTCTGCAGTGCCAAGGGTCTGGAAACAAGAATAAAGACACTGATGACGTGTTTTCTGTATCGTGCGATGCTGCATGGCATTGCATGAGTTCCAGCAATAAAATATAAATTGTCCAAGCCTTGATATAAAATGTCTGAATCTGTCCTTGGTCCTTCTCCTCTCTTCTCCAAATCCCACGACTTCCAATCGATTGCTCCAATGATCGGCAAGCAATAAGACTCGATTGGAGCATCAAATCCAGGCCCAGGCACACCTAGCGGTAGGAGTGGAGGTCGGCGGCATCACCAAGGCGATGGCGCAGCGCTTGGTACTGGAATGGATTTCGCTGCGTGCAATGCAATTGGTACGGGTATGACAACAACTGCCATCGAGGGTGGCGCTGGAATGGCAGCCGCTGCATCTGCTGAAGAATTGCCAAAGTTCGCGAGCCTCGGGCCTCAAAGAACCACGGGAGCGAATCTCGAATCATGAAAAGTTGGGTTGACAGCCTGGATGAGATATATGTAGAATAAGAGTGAACGAAGATGTTTTGGAGTCTATTCGTCTTTGATGCCCTGGGTCTGGGACTGTCAATGATAAATATGGTGCGTTTTCTGGACAGTTGTTGTTGCAGTGTAACGTTCGCAATGTATGGACTTTTAATATATAGAAACATGATATACTCAGTCAAAAAACTTGAACCAGAATGACAGGATAATTTAGAACATGACAAATAAAATAGAAAGAAAGCCAAGTCAATCTATCTGGGCTCAAAATTATATTATATAATATTAACTAAAGTCATATATATTTTTATCAATGAAAGTTGTGGACAGTCTGCCATCTTAGTCTCGACGTGGAACTTGGAAAAGCAACCAGATGGAAATATGAAGCAGTAGTGGAGACAAGTTTTTCAACGAATCTGATCTCTTTCCCAAGACAAAGTCTAGCAATTACATACACCAACCACGTATATAAAACACAATCGAAAATGAAATGACACACACTTCTCTTCCAGAGATCGTCAAGATCCAACTATTTATTGGATTTTTATTCTTTTCAGTGGCAGTGAAATCTATAGCAATGGTGAAAAGACTAGAATGATGTCTTTACTCATCTGGATTCACAGCTTCATTTCGTGTGTTGTTCTATGTCCCAGCATTATAGAAAAGAAAAGGAATTGACAAATACGGAACGACTTCCTCGAATAACTTTCAAAGGACAAAGTTCCCAAGAGGCACCACTCTGGCATTGTATGCTGCCTCGAGCTATAAATACGAGTGGCCTCACAGATCAAATCACTTCTCTCGAATATACTAGAGTTCGTTGATCATAGGCTTGCTTGGTGTTGTTTTCGGTTCTCGCCATGTTGCTGATGCTGGCCATGGGAGTGGACGTCAAAAGCGCTGCAGCTAGCTCCTCTAAGTTTCCTCTCGGGGATTGTTTTGCAAATTTTGGCTACAACGTGTTCTTTGAAAGCGCCATAAGAATGTTAGAACACCATTCGATTGAGGAGGAAGTATCCAATAGCAGTTGCCGAGGCGCTAGCAAGAGCACAAACTTCCACCCAACGAGTCAAGTAGTCAGAAGCAATAATAACATACTCATTGCCAGCAGTCGACCGTGGAAAAGGTCCCATAAGATCAAATGCCACCAACTCAAACGGACGGGAGACTGCAATTGACTCTAACCGTCCTTCCGCAGCACAAGGGGGAGTATTACGAGCTTGGCACCAAACGCAGCTACACACATATCGGATAATATCACGTTGCATCTTCGGCCAATAGAAAGACCTGTGCAGCTTCTCGGCCACACGACAATATCCCATATGCCCACTTAGAACAAAAGAATCATGGTAGGCATGGAGAAATCGCGGAATAAAGATAGAAGGCACCACCAGCCATAAATGATTATCAGAATCCGTCCCCACAAAATAAAGAAGGCCATTTTCAAGATGATATTGAGAATGTAAATGCCGAAAAGGCAAGTCATCAACAAATGATGCAAGATTCTCAAATGCATCTCGAAGCCTTCGAATCCATGGCTCAATCTTTTGAGCCTCACGGACCTCATCAAGAGAAGGTAGATCTTGCTCTGCACCTTGTGGACACTAAACATCAAGTATAGCAATCGCCAATGGCATAGAATCCTGGTCTAAAAAATCCACAGATGCTGGAATAATAGGCTCATCAGAAACATGATAAAAGAGTGGAGAAGGAAAAGGAGCTCGAGAAAGGGCATCAGCATTAGCCATAAAACTCCCTGGGCGATGAATAACATCAAAATTATATATTTAAAACTTTAAAGCCCACTGAGTAGTACGATTAACCAGGTTCTTCTGCTTCAATAATGAAGTAACGGCAGCATGGTCACCTTCAAATAACATCCGAAAACCATGTAAATAGGCATGAAGTTTCTTGAAACCCCAAACTGTCGCTAAACACTCCTTCTCTATCGTGGAGTAGTTTACCTTTGTTGATTGTAACATATGGCTTATATATGCATTGGGATGACGCTAACCAAACACACTCGGGCTTTTTTGTATTAACACACTTCCAAGACTAATATCAAAAACATATTCTTAGCTTGAGCATAATAAAAAAGCCAAGGAGCTTTTCAGTAAAATGCCACACCACAACTTAAATCTTGTGGAACTCAACGCTAGCAGTAATGTCCAGCCTAAGAAGCAAGGTCTCTATTTGATGCCATGCCACATAAGAACGTTTCATCGCGGTTGACAATATCACAGCACTGGCCGAGAGAAACCAGCTCGAAGAAGCTCGCATTCACCTCCCCGACGACGTGGTGTGGACTGACATGATCTTGGCCTACTCCAACCATGGCCACCTCGAAGAAGCCATGAAGATGTTTGCACGGATGCCACAGCGCGATCTCATTGCTTAGACGGCAATGGTGGCGGCAATTGCTTTGCACGGGAGGTTGATGGATGGCATCTTGTTCGACCAAATGTCCCAGCATGATATCGTCGCGTGAAACACGATGCTGGGAGCTTACATCCAGAGCAATTGCCCTCGTCCAGCGCGGGAGCTCTTTGCGACCACGATGGTGAGAGACACAGCGAGCTGGATTGCCGCGAGCACTCAAAGGGGGAATCTCTTGCAGGCCGGGAAGATCTTCTCCACGTTGCCTGATCGGAGCATTGTGCCGTGGAACGCGATGATCCATGGCTGCGCACAGAATGGCCACGCTGAGTTTTTGACAGCATGGCGATGGAGGGCGAGGCGAGAAACGAGATAAGTTTCCAGGCGATTCTCCTGACTTGCGGAAGCTCCGAGTGGCACTCAACTACTTTCGATCTATGGTGGCCGAGTACAGCATTTCTCCATGTGATTCACTTCCAGGCGATGGCAGATGTGCTGGGACGAACCGGGCTGGTTGCCGAGGCCGAAGTGTTGGAGCAGGAATCAAGGCGTCAAGGACACAGGAATCTGCAGCAGGAATCTAGGAAAGATTAAAGAAGATGAACGAGCATATAAGACTGTATACAACAAGCATTCAACAGTAGCTTTTCCCGTTCCATCATGGTATCAGAGAATTTTCTGTTCAGCAGGGCAGTGGGCTTGATGCAACGTAATGCAGATCATGAGAGCCATCACAGGCAAAGCTCTGGCGGCAGCAAGCTGCATGGAACAGTGATAGGATCAGGCAAGCAGTGTTCCAGTCTTGTGTGGATTTGCATGCAAGTCGTGCACAGCAGTCAAGATCTTGAGCAATGTTCAGGATAAGGCTGAACAGAATTTGGTGGAGCAAGAGCTGGAGGCACTGTCAAGATTGACACCTGTCGATTGAGATGTCGACAGGTGTGGGCGAGGCAGCGATGTGATGGGCGCATCCTGGAGCAAAAGCGGACATACCCCGAGTCCAGGTGATGGTGTCCCTCGTGAAGGAGTCCACTTAGCAACCAGCAGGGATTTGGAAGGATTTCCCGTGGAAATTAGTGCTGCTCTGTGCGAGGCCTACCGTCGCTGGCAGGGAAATTGCGGAGACTTTCTTTGCGAGCTGTCATCTGGCGGTGTTCTTCGCGCATATGATCCAGCTAAACACCGGGACTGGATACAGGAACTCGATTGGTTGGTTTGACAGCGCTGGTTTTTTCAGCCCGATCCAGCCATTCGAGGGCCCTGGATCGCTCGACGATGTGGAGACGCTCCTTGGCAGTGGAAAAAGGAAGCTCGAGCTCTACCACCGACACGGCCGGGGCTTGTTCCACCGTGGAAGACGAGGGTGGCGAAGTGGAAGACGTGACTTCTAGCCGCAACAAGCTCTCCAATCTTGTCGTTTCCAGCGGCGGCAGGCTCGCGAAGCTCGAGGTTGGCGATCCAAAACTTGTCGACGTCAAAGCAGCGTTTCTAGCGGGGCTCGGGCGACTCTCGGCAGTGGCCGATGTTACTTCGGTGTACAAAGTTCTTTACGACTGTCCTGGCTCGCCGAGAAGCGTTTGAGACGCTCAGCGCGAGGTGGGGATGTGAATTTGCAGCAGGAGGGGTGTTCTCCAAACGAGCTTCTCAGTGTCATATGGTTTTGGACTCCACCTAGGGTGTGGGGATATATCTTAGTCCGGAGAGTCTGTCTCGTCTGAGTTGCAGAGGCACGGATATTGACGTCTTGCTGTGCCGTGCGATTCTTGGCAAAGCTGAGCTTGTGCGAGATACACCACCAGTGGATGCTACTGAGGTCTTGCTGCAGCACAACAAACCGGAGACCTTCACCACAGATTGTCACAGAGATTGTCTTGATGATGGCTGGTCACACCCAAGCAGGGCTTTTCCTATCTTTTTATTCTCATAGTTTGACCTTACAGCTTGGCATCGTCAACTACTTGTGGAAGGCCAAAGGATCTGATACACATGCAAGGACTGTTGAACGAAGCTACAATGAAGGCTCTTTGGAAAACTAAGGTACCTCAATATTATTCAAGTTTAGTTTCAATGTTTGGAGATGATTTGTGGTGCAATAGTAGACGACTTCAACCGTCACTCCATTGTTTGTTTTCTTAAACAGAGCGAACTGTGACTCGATCCATTGTGATCAGATCCACTCTTTCATTTCTTTCTCGAAGAATTTCGAAGAGCTCTAGTCTCATCTCCATGTGAGCATAAGTCTTGGAGATGAAGATGCTGTCTCGGCAGAATTTCATACAATTCTGGCCACACATTGGATCTCCCTCCATGGTCAAGACGAAATTGGGGAGAGCAAAGATGGCAGCACTTCATACAATTCTGGCCCCACATTGGAATCTCCTTCCAGATTTCTGCACCATACAAGCATGGTGGGAAGGAGAAGAAGATGATGAGATGCATCTTATGCAACGCTGAAGTCTATGATGTACCAGTCTTCAGACAGGTACAACACTTACTCTTTTGTATTTACATGTGTTTTGAATGTATAGGATATCTGTAAGATGGATTGCTATGGAGGGACAATGTTCTCTTACTCAACCAAGACCAAGGTATTTCTTATTTCTGGCATTAAACCAAAGGTGGCAGGTTACAGTGCTATCCGGATACTGCTGTATTAGTACTAAGCAGATTTGCCACTCTTGGAGGAAAATACAATGCCATAGTGCTCCTAGAGCCTCCAACTCAGAGAAAGGTACAATTCTACATGGCACTGACCCTAGAAAGTGTAGGTCCAGATACTTTACAGGTCTAGCCAGAAAATGATAGGTCTTGGTCAGTAATTTTGAAGTTTGTAGTATCTTCTAATACATGGGTTCTACGTGTTCACAACATAAGTATATTGCAAACTTCTTAAGGTGTTTCTAAACCACGTTCTGAGGGGGAGAAAAAGGAGATGCTTTACCAGAACGTGTTTCTCAAGTCATATATTTTGATGAGTGCTCCTTCTGGCTGTCGTACATGGACACTGCTAGGTTCTTCTTGGAGAGCAACTCAATCCAGGACAGCAGCGGCAAGCTGATGCAAGAGCTGTGTGCTGAGGATTGTGGAGCTTGTTACCCAGATGGAATGCCAGGGATCAGCATGTTCGTCGACACTTTCATGGAGGACATGGAGATGAGGGAGACGATCCGGGCCGACATAGCTGCCATCCCCGAGCGGCGATTTTGAACGTTGACAATAAACGATACAACCAGGTACATTATTTTAATTTACTAATGCAGTGAGTTTTTGGTGTAGCATGCAATGTTGCTATGGAAGGCAGCTAAAGAAACACTCTACGTTTTGAATTGCAAACAACCCTGAATGACAACACAGGTGATTGCCTGGAAAGAATGAATACTTTCTCATGAAGATCTCAACACTTGCTACTGATAGGCATTGTGATCATGGGGGCGAACTTGGCAGAGCTGAGGAGTCCACTGACAACATGATCACATACTAGTACGTGCTGTGCAATCATGAGCGTGAATGTGGAGCTCAGAATCGATGAAAAGGAGCAGCTGGAACTCCAAGACGAGCCAATACTGGTTCCAATGCTCCATGCTTACGAGTGCAAGCTGTTTGCGAAGGCAACTCTGGACACAACAGTTCACCACAAGCTAGGACCGTACCAACCCAGGGGGAGTAGGCGATACGGTCTGATCTCTAGGATGGATCAGATCAAGGGGGAGTGTTGGAGCAGGAATCAAGGCATCAAGGACACAGGAATCTGCGGCAGGAATCTAGGAAAGATTAAAGGAGATGAACAAGTATATAAGATTGTATACAACAAGCATTCAATAGTAGCTTTTCCCATTCCATCACGAAGGTCTGCTGCTAGTGATGCCCTTTCCTCACGTGCTTGATCAGCAGTTGCAAAGTTCATGGCAGCGGCAAGAACATCGATGCTGCAGCTCGAGCCACAGAGAATATCTTCATGATGGAACCAGGGGACTCGGCGCTCTACGTGCTCATGTCGAATCTGCAAAGGCAGGATTCCAGAGAAAGCTTGCCTTCCATGCGTGACCTTCGAACAGCTCGAACTGGGACAGCAGGAAGAAGAGAGAAAAGTAAGAAACATAAACACAAATTTTGACCAACCTGATGTGATCTAACCAAATTCATTCAAATGAATTTGCTTGTGACCAGCAAAGAGGTTTGGGAAGAATTGTGAGCAATTTTCGGTTGCATCTACATAGTCTGCAAATATTTATAACTTTAACAAGACTTAATATCAGAAAATAATTATTAATTGATTAATTTTAAACGCATAATACCTCCCATGCTGGATGGCTGAAGCATAGACCACTTTCTGGTCCCGTCACTGATCACTCTGCGTGATCAATCTGTTTGGGTGCTGGATTGCCCAAGAGATTGTCAACAGCCTCCCAGTGAGAAGAGATGATGTAGCATTTACCACTTTTCTTGCAGCGTATACACTCCTAATATATACGCTCCAGAGTTCTTGTCTTCTATTTCAACCACTGACTTGGTTCTATCGAGCTTTGAGTTTGAGCTAGAAGAGGGACTTCAGAGATATAGATACATTTTCGGCTTGTTCAATTTTGACATGATCGTTAACACTAAATAGTGCAGCATCGATAGTTTAGATTTCATAAAAACAGAATAAAAATTAACAAAATAAATTTGTGATCATCCTGGCCATTGATTGATGGTTCCTCCTAAACTTTTGTACCCCGATGAAAAGCGAGGAAGGCAACAGGACCTTCCTGTGACTTACTCAAGCCCATAGAAGGGACTGACAGATAAATGACGAGCTTTCGCTCTTCATGCTACTTGTTTTTCTCTTGCAGCGCCTGCAATCAAAGAGTAGCATCTATACAAATTGACTTCGAAGAAACGTACCTCGTCAAGTTCCCTGTCTCTCTCAGAGGTGGAAGAATTCACCAGGATACAGAAAGGCTCGTACCTGGTCGGCGTTTTCACCTGTCAGAGAAGTGTGCCCCGGAGCAGATGGCTCCACCTCCAAATCACTCTTGACCCGGTCGGGATCATTGGCTGTCAACTTCCGGACGAGGTTCTCGTCGCTAGTGATCTCGGGGCTGTTCTCCACATCGCGCTTCCTGATCGATTCAGCTTCATCAGTCCATATTGTCAGCTCAAGTGCAGAGACTACTAACCCGTGGGAAAAAGGCCGGATGCGGGGGTCCATCATGATGAACTTCTGCATTTGTTTCTCCATCTCAGCCCGCTTCTTTGCCAGTGCTGCGACATCTCCAGGATCGAACACGGTGCCAGAACGATCCGCCACCTTTCGTCCTTGTTCCCGTCCATGAAACTGCTCTGGAACCCCGTCGCGTCGAGATGATAGGCGCACTGGGAGCTCGTTTGCAGCCATTTTCTCGCCTGCTGGATGATGAGAGTAGCCACCAGTCGAGAAGAGTGGATCATCCTCCGGAGTGGCTGAGAACAGCCTTGGCTTGTCGCCAACTTCATGCGCAGGAAAGACGACGAGAGGATCCTCCATCGTGACGTTTTCCCGGCTTCCCTGCTGGCCATGCACTGGATCAGCAGCACGAAAGAGTGGATCGTTCCCGGATGCAGACTTGTGGCGAGCACCAGCGGGAAGAGCAGACGGTGGCAGGCGCCTTGGTGGCCTCAGGAGCTCGCGAATTCGGTGGTCAGCAGCCGGCTTCTTCCTGCCAGCATTCAACTGCGATGATGGTCGAGGCTCCACTTTGGTAATGAGGTGCTCCCGCTGGTTGCTGCTGCTGCCGCTGTTGCCACCGCTAGGTTGATGGCCATACTCCACCAGGATGTCGCGTGGTGGATGTCACCGTGCACCTTGTTCCTTCTCCTCTTCAAGAGTATCCAGACTCCAGTGCCGATGGCTACCAGTGCGAGCAGGAGCAGAACGATGCCTGCCGCGAGGACACCAGGTGATGCCACGAATGCTGCTGCTGCTGCTGCTGAAGATGGTGCTGACGACGCCGTAGGCGGAGAGGTGCCCAAGCCAAGGGGCCTTGGTTGCCACGTTATGGTCGAAGGTGGTGGCGATGGCGGCCTTGGGTTCCACGCTATGGTCGAAGGTGGTGGCGATGGCCCTGGGTTCCACGTTATGCTCGAAGGTGGTGGCGATGACGGCCCGGCCCTCCTTGGTCGCCAGGTTACAGTGTCGGCCTTGTTGGGCGGCGAAGAAGAAGGTGGCGGCCCTGTAGCAGCTCCATCACCAGCTCGTCGATGTCCAGGATGCCTCTTTGGCTCTGCTGCTGGATGTTCCTTTGTGGGCGGAGAGCTCGGTGGTGGAGGTCCAGCTCCATGATGCTCGGGAAACCTCGGTGGTGCTCCATGATGCTCGGAAGAGCTCGGTGGTGGATGTACAGCTCCATGATGCTCAGGAGGTAGCTTTGTTGGTGAGTGATGTCCCTCTGTGGGCTTTGGTGGTGAATGACTGTGCCTCTTGGCTGGCGCCGGTGGAGACCTCTTTGGGGGCGGAGATGAAGTTGTCGGCGCCCTCTTTGGCGATGGTTTGGGCGGCGGCATCCTCCTCGCGTGCTCCCGGTGAGGAGGCGGGGGCGGTGGCGTGCGAGCCATAGTCAGAGATGAAGCTTACCAGAGAAAGTCGCAGTATTTCAGCCAAGCTCGCTGCTTACGAGAAAACTCGCGCTAAAGTTTGCTGCGCCTTTTTTAGGGCATTAAACTGTCTGCTGGGTAAACGAATGGTAAATATATCCTTTTCGTATAAATAGAAGAATAGTATATTCTGGAAAGCTAGTCACAATCTAGACCGTGCATTTAAAACATTCTGAACCGTTCCTTTACATACAATCTGAGCCGTCCACTGTATACAATCTGGGCTGTCGTAATATTTAAATCAAAGCCGTCGATCTAAATTGATCTGAACCGTCCCATATTTAAATGATGATATGGCACACACGTGGCAAATGCAGGGATTCTTCGGAACTTGCGATTTTGTGGAACTTAATGATCCTCATGGAGAGATTGTATGTGGATCCCAGCATTATAAAAAAGAGAAGAAACTCTCAAACACGGAACCAAAGTAGATAAGGACTCCGTCCCATCTAGCATGCTCGAGCTATAAATATGAGCCCAAATCAAACCACTTCTCTCTAATATAACAAGCTTACTTCTCTAGCAGCAAATCATGGAGAACAAGGCTTTCTTCGTGTTGTTTTTGGCGCTCGCCATATTTGTGATGATGCTGGCCATGGGCGTGGACGTGGGAGGAATCGCAAAGGCTGCTGCCCAGCGCTGCCAGTCGGGGTGGTATTGGTATGACAACGGTTGCCACCGTTGCCAGAAGGGTTGGAGCTGGCGCAACAATCGCTGCTCGCGCAACTGAAACCTCTCGTTTCACGGGGTAAGCCCAAGTTAAGAATCAGCATCGTAATTGCCTTTGATTTTATCGTTCTGCAGTGCCAAAGGTCTGGAAACAAGAATAAAGACAATGATAACGTGTTTTCTGTATCGTGCCATGTTGCATAGTATTGCATGAGTTCCAGGAATAAAATATAAATTGTCCAAGCCTTGATATAAAATGTCTGAATCTGTCCTCGGTCCTTCTCCTCTCTTCTCCAAATCCCTCGACTTCCAATCGATTGCTCCAATGATCGGCAAGCAATAACACTCGATTGGAGCATCAAAACCAGGCCCAGGCACACCTAGCGGTGGGAGCGGAGGTCGGGGGCATCACCAAGGCGATGGCGCAGCCCTTGGTACTGGAATGGATTTCGCTGCGTGCAATGCATTTGGTACGGGTATGACAACAGCTGCCATCGAGGGTGGCGCTGGAATGGCAACCGCTGCATCTGTTGAAGAAGAATTGCCAAAGCTCGGGCCTCGATATATATATAGAATAAGAGTCAACGAAGATGTTTTGGAGTCTATTCACGTGTTTGGTGCCCTGAGACTGGTCAAGAAACTTGAAAAGAAAGCCAAGTCAATCTAAAATTATTTTATATAATATTAACTAAAATCATATATATTTTTGTCAATGAAAGTTGTGGACACTCTGCCACGTGGAACTTGGAAAAGCAACCAGATGGAAATATGACGCAGTAGTGGAGACAAATTTTTCAACGAATCTGATCTCTTTCCCAAGACAAAATCTAGCAATTATATACACCAACCATGTATATAAAACACAATCGAAAATGACACTTCTCTTCTAAAGATATTTATTTGGACTTTTGTTATTTTCAGTGGCAGTGAAATCTATAAAACTGTGAAATAACTAAAATGTTGTCTTTACTCATCTGGATTCACAGCTTCATTTCGTGTGTTGTTCTATGTCCCAGGAAACGACTTCCTCGACTAAGTTTCAAAAGAGGTGCTGCCTCGAGCTATAAATACGAGCGGCCTCACAGATCAAATCACTTCTCTCGAATATACTAGAGTTCGTTGAACTCTTAGTTTCATGCCTGGTGTTGTTTTCGCGCCATGTTGTTGATGCTGGCCATGGGAGTGCGCGTGGGAGGAATCGCAAAGGCTGCTGCCCAATTCTGCCAGTCCGATAGTTGCCACCGATGCCCTCGAGGACGGCGCTGGTACGCTCTGTGATCGTAAGGGATTGTTTTTGCAAATTTTGGCTACGTGTTCTTTGAAAGCGCAAATATGAGCGATATGAAGTTAACGGATTATGGATAAAGTCGGTGAAATGACCACCGTTTAGTGCACCAACCTCATGCACAAATTGCCCCATGTCTTTGGAAACGCTTATTTGCCATTGACAAATCAAAGCTCTATCTTGCCAGTCTCCAGGAAAACGCCGGTAAGATGACAGGAATCACTACCACGCAGACGTACCGATTCAAGCCTCTAGAACAGATCTAGAGCAGCGGGCATCGTCGCTCCGCGACGGCTACGCGCAATTCTTCACAGCTTGCATAACTCTATGGAAGGTGCGAGCGCTCGGATCGAGAATGGCAGGTGTTTATCAGCATCCACGAGCCCAACAGATTCTCGTGGAACTTGATGCTTGGCGCTTATGGGTATCTTGAGAAAGCAAAAGTGCTGTTTGATCAGATGCCACAAAGGGATATTGTTTCTTGGATGGCTTTTATTACGGCTCGTGAAAACTATAGAAACGTGGAGGAATGCCAAGCATTGTTGATCATGTTCCAGAATGGGATGGAAATTTCTGGAACTCTCTACTTAAAGCATATGTCCATAAATGGCATATGGATCAAGCGAGCCAGATCTTTGATGGTATGCTAGAACACAACATAGTTTCTTGGACTGTTATGGTTTCTGGGTATGCAAGAACATTTCCTGTTAAAGAAGTGCTAATTTTGTTTATGACGATCCCCGAAACCAACGAGCTGGGATGAACTGTTCTTGTCACTGCGTATGCCCATCTTGGGCATATTGAAAAAGCCAAGAAGCTTTTCAGAAAAATGCCACACCGCGACTTAATCTCGTGGAACGCAATGCTAGCAGCAACATCCAGCCTGCAAGAAGCTGTTTGATGCCATACCACAGAAGAACGTTGCATCGTGGTCGACAATGATCACAGCACTGGCCGAGAGAAACCAGCTCGAAGAAGCTCGCATTCTCTTCGAACGACCTCCCTATCACGACGACGTGGTGTGGACTGACATGATCTTGGCCTACTCCAACCACGGCCACCTCGAAAAAGCTGTTTGCACATGCCACAGTGCGATTTCGTCGCTTAGACGGCAATGGTGGCGGCAATTGCTTTGCACGGGAGCTTGACCGATGCCAGCGTCTTGTTCGACCAAATGCCACAGCACGATAGCGTCGCGTGAAACACGCTTAGATCCAGAGCAATTGCCCTCGTCCAAGCGCGGGAGCTGAGAGACACAGCGAGCTGGATTGCCGCGAGGGAATCTCTTGCAGGCCGGGAAGATCTTCTCCACGTTGCCTGATCAGAGCATTGTGGCGTGGAACGCGATGATCCATGGCTGCGCACAGAATGGCCATGAGCGAAAAGCCGCTGAGTTTTTTGGCAGCATGGAGCTTCCCACCGTGATTGCAAGTCAGGAGAATCGCCTGGAAACTTATCTCGTTTCTGGTCTCGCCCTCCATCGCCGTGTGGCAGTCGACTACTTTCGATCTATGGTGGCCTAGTAAACAGCATTCCGAAGGTCTGCTGCTGGTGATGCCCTTCCAGCCGCATGTCCTCGCGTGGAAGAGCTTGATCAGCGCTTGCAAGCGGCAAGAACATCGATGCTGCAGCTCGTGCCGCAAAGAAACTCTTGGAGATGGAACCAGGGGACTCGGCGCTCTACGTGCTCATGTCGAATCTGCAAAAGCAGGATTCCAGAGAAAGCTTGCCTTCCAACGTTCATGCGTGGCCTTGCAACAGCTCGGTTTTTCAAGATCTAGGACAGCACACTGCACCCAAGTAAGAAGAGGAAAAGTAAGAAACATAAACACTCCTCTGGATTTAGGAGACGAGCCCGGAAGCGTCCACCTTGGCGTCCATTGTCTTGATGAACAGCAAATTCGTTCATTAGTTTGTGCACAAGCGTAACTTTAACAAGATTTAATTAACAGAAAAGTATTTATAAAATACTTTTAAACTTATAATACCTTGATAATCACTTTCCTGTCGCTGATGCCTGATCGACGTGCTGGATTGCCCAAGAGATTGTCAAGAGCCTGCCAGTCAGAAGAGACGATGTAACATTTACCTACTTTTCTTGCAGTGTGCAATCGTACCAAGTCTATGGAAGATAAGAACTCTGGAGCGTGTAGTATATTAGCATCAAAGTTCTATGGAACTTTGAGTTTGTAAAAGCTAAAAGAGGGACATTGGAGATATATGTTCAATTTTGACATGATGAGTTAATACTTGATAGTGTAAGATTGCTGAAAAGAATGAGCGTGTAAGTCCTGATCTGTGAATATCCCGATGCAAAAAGCTCCGGAGCCTCCAATTACCGCAATCTTCATCAAAGATTGAAGAGATCTGCACAAGTTAGAACGGACAAGGATGGCTCAAGGATAGCTAAAATATATCGTCATATATGATCAAGAGATATGCCTTTAGCCTTCACCTGGATCAGTGAGGTGGCACTATTGCCACCTAGGATCATGTCATAGAGAGCGTATATCCTTCATCATCCCATCTTTGAACACAGCCACGAATGTCAAGAACAAACCGGTTGTGATGGTGGAATCATGGTTGATGTACGTCCCTTTGGCTCTTCTCACAATCTGGGAGGCATGTGAGGGAGAACATCGCCGATAACAAACACCGCTCCAAAATGGCCATTCTGGGCGCCTGCGACCAAAAGGACCATGGAATTTGATTTGAGTTACATTATGAAAACAAACTGAGAGGCCGTAGGATTTCTGGTGTTGTCTAATCAATAACATTATCACCAACTAAAGCATCTATAGTTTAGATTTCTAAAATTTGAAAAAAAAAAAAATATGTGATCATCCTGGCTAATTGTATATTAATGATTGATGGTTCTTCTTAAACTTTTGTACCCTGATGAAAAGCGAGGAAGGTAAGAGGACCTTCTGAGACTTACTCAAGCCGAAAGCCAGATAAATGACGAGCTTTCGTTCATTCTTTTTGTTTTTCACTTGGTTTTGTCTGTTGCAGTGCCTGCAATCAAAGAGTAACATCTATACAAATTGACTTCGAAGAAACGTACCTCGTCAAATTCCCTGTCTCTCAGAGGTGGAAGAATTCACCAGGATACAGAAAGGCTCGTACCTGGTCGGCGTTTTCACCTGTCAGAGAAGCGTGCCCCAGAGCAGATGGCTCCAGCTCCAAATTACTCTTGACCCGCTTGGGATCATTGGCTGTCACTTTCCGGACGAGGTTTTCGTTGCTAGTGATCTCGGGGCTGTTCTCCACATCGCGCTTCCTGATCGATTCAGCTTCATCAGTCCATATTGTCAGCTCAAGTGCAGAGACTACTAACCTGTGGGAAAAAGGCCGGATGCGGGGGTCCATCATGATGAACTTCTGCATTTGTTTCTCCATCTCAGCCCGCTTCTTTGCCAGTGCTGCGACATCTCCAGGATCGAACACGGTGCCAGAACGATCCGCCACCTTTCGTCCTTCTTCCCGTCCATGAAACTGCTCTGGAACCCCGTCGTGTCTAGATGATAGGCGCACTGGGAGCTCGTTTGGAGCCTCGCCTGCTGGATAATGAGAGTAGCCACCAGTCGAGAAGAGTGGATCATCCTCCGGAGTGGCTGAGAACAGCCTTGGCTTCTCGTCAACTTCATACGCAGGAAAGACGACGAGAGGATCCTCCATCATGACGTTTTCCCGGCTTCCCTGCTGGCCATGTACTGGATCAGCAGCACGAAAGAGTTGATCGTTTCCGGATGCAGACTTGTGGCGAGCACCAGGAAGAGCAGACGGTGGCAGCCGCCTTGGTGGCCTCAGGAGCTCGCGAATTAGGGGGTCAGCATCCGCCTTCTGCCTACCGGCATTCAACTGCGATGATATACTTTGGTCGGGGGAATATTAATGAGGTGCTCCTGCTGGCTGCTGCTGCTGCCGCTGTTGCCACTGCCAGGCTGATGGCCATACTCCACGAAGATGTCGTCGTGCACCTTGTTCCTTCTCCTCTTCAAGAGTATCCAGACTCCAGTGACGATGGCTACCAGCGCGAGCAGGAGCATGACGATGCCTGCCGCGAGCACACCGGGTGATGCCACGAATGCTGCTGCTGCTGAAGATGGTGCTGACGACGCAGTAGGCGGAGAGGTGCCCAAGCCAAGGGGCCTTGTTATGGTCGAAGGTGGTGGCGATAGCGGCCTTGGGTTCCACGTTATACTCGAAGGTGGTGGCGATGGCGGCCCGGCCCTCCTTGGTCGCCAGGCTACAGTCTCGGGCTTGTTGGTCGGCGAAGAAGAAGGTACCAGAGAAGTGGGAGACTCGAAGTATTTCAGCTCAAACTCGCTTGCTTACCACTTCCTTTTTTAGGGCATTAAAGTGTCTAAGTACTTACGATGTGTACGGTAAACGAATGTTTTTGGACAAATATGAATAAGATTCGCAAGAACAACGAGCTTCCACTCATCGCCTGTAAGCTCAGTCTACAGATGAGCATTAAGATGCAGCGAGTTCCACCATGCACACGTACTTTGTAGTTGGCTTTCAACACATCGATCGATGTCCGCGTGATATGGCCCTTCCAGACATCCTCTCACCCATGATCTGAGACAATTCGTCCACAGAAGAACTCCCTAAACCTTACCTTCATTGCTACCTCGTCCCAGCAACATCAACCATCTTGTGATTGATTTCCAGCGACGGAATTCTGCCAAGATCGACGAACTCCTTCCCCGGAACGTGGTCATGGGAAGAAAAAACATCAGAATCAGAACAAAGACAGAGCGCATGAACCTTTGCAACGCCCACCCCGACAATGATCGAATCCATTTTGTTGAAGACGCAGTTGGGCAAATGCACGGGAATACGGCCTCCTCGGCCGCATCCCTTCTCTCGTCCTCCTTTGCGTTCGCCAAGGACGCGATGAACTGGTCAAACAAGTGATAGATGATGTCCGCCGTGAAGATCTTCACGCTCAGCTCTTCCGACAAGTCTGTGGCCTCATTTGGCGCGAGAGTGTGGTTATGAATGAAAACAATATCAAAGCATTCGTATCTTCTGTTTTTTTTTTTTTTTTTCACAAAAAGCTATGTATGATCTGGGATGTTGTGATCCTCCGCTTGCAAAACTCCCTTGAGGCTGCGCGTAAGCCAGATGGCCGTCTCGCGCGGAGAGACCTTGTCGCTGCCAAACGGCCTCAGCACGATGGCCAGCTCGTCCAGCCGGTGCTGCGACAGCAGCTGCGCGCACAGCTCCAGCAGCCCCTCCAGCGCCTCCGCCCTCTGCCGGAACGATTTCACGTCGATCCCTTTGCTGCTCGATCGGTTCTCCTCGCTTGCTTGCTGCTGTGACACTAACACCTCCGGCGTTGGCGGGCATGGATGGCTGCTGCTCACCGTCGTACCCGACGAAGAGACCGAGAGGACGTCCTTGTCCGAGCTCTGGAGCTCGATCACCGAGCATCCAATGTCAACTTTGCCTGGCAGCTCCAACTCGCTGCTGTCGAGCGGATGATCCGACTGCTGCTGCTGCTGTTGCTCTCCCGATCCGATCCGAAACGTGCTGTGGCGGATGACGTGAATCACGTCGTTGTAAGCTGGCCGGACCTGGACCGGGGACTTGTCGTAGACCTGTATGGTGCCTTTCTCCTGGGACCTGTTGTTGCTGCCGCCTTGCTCGCTCTCGCAGTCGTAGGACTTGTACGAGGAAGAGACCGTCTCCTTCTCCGTCGACCTGTCCGCCAGCTCTTCCGACTCGCACTCTCGATCCATCATGGCCGCCGCAGGCTTGTCCTGGTCTTCGGAGCATGCACACGGCGTTTCCGGACGGAGGATCGCTTCTTTCTCCTCTGGCTTGTCCTCGGCGTCCACCCTCTGGAAACTATTCAGCAGCTTGGTCACTGATTTGGTGCTTTCCCGGAGATTGTCTTCTTCATAGTCACACGTCGACGAGTAGCTTGGCTTTTCTTGTTGCATCACCGCAGGGAGTGCTGGAGATGGAGGCTGAGGCGGGAACCCGTTCATTCTTAGAAAAGTTGGCGAAGAGTCGATCTTCTTGTAGCTCAGCCATGGAGACTCCATTTTGAAGTGAGACTGCCCAACTGATGGTTCCGGAGCTTGAAACCTGTCAGTTGCTGCCGAGTCTCTGGCGACTGCTTCGGTAACACCACAGAGAGTTTCCGCTCTGGCGAGAGGGAACTCTGGAATCAAATCCAGCCTTGGTGCGTTCATCGAAACATCTGGAGACTCCCCACTGACCGAGCCAAGTACCTGATCCGAATCGGACTGAACAGAAGAAAGCTGCTCGTCGACAACAAACTCACCGCGTTTGGTAGTATTCGCCACCCGAGGATGGAAAGGTGCGAGTTTTGATGGCTCAGTCGAGACTGGAGCATCGCATGCGGCGTCCTCAAAAATTCGATTCTTGTACGTATTGCTCACAGGCGTTCCGTTCTGGAAGTTGCTCGCTGCCGGAATTCGACTTCTTAGTGGCGAGGAACTTCTTCTTCCAGCGGACGCCTTCGGCAGAGTAGACCTTTGAGCTGGACTTCCAAAAGCCGGAGAACGTGTGGCTTTTGCAGCTGGGAGTTTTTCTTCGACAGGTTGTAGAGCGAAGACAGGTGTGGCAACAAGCTCGGCTTTCACTTTAGCCTGAACAAGTAAGCACCAGTAAGAAACATAATAATAGCAAACAAAGCTTACTATGTGCTTTGGTAGTGGTATTTGAGTTGCTTTGTACCCGACGTCTGTTTTCATTCTCGATCTTTCAGGAGTCCGGGAAGGCGGAGAAGCTATAGCACGGCTAACATGAGTCACTCTAGCCGGTGAGCTGCTGATTGGAAACTTCTCATCCCCCTCATCCTTTTCAGTCGAGGTGTTTTCCGTTCCCTTCGAAATAGCACAGTGGTGCCGCTTTCCCATGCGGCTGTCCTCGGCCCATGCTACGTCTTGTAGATCCGTATCTTCTGTCGGTGACAGTGGCAAGGCATTAGCCGAAAGGTACTGACTGGACGATCTCGACGTTTCTTTTCCAGAAGCAGCGTCGTTCCATATTGGACTGGAGCAATCTACCATGTTATCTTGAGCACCACCCCAGCGACAATCACTAGAGTCGAAAGTTCTGCAAGGACTGCTCTTTCCACTGTTATAGCTGTCCTTGCCACTGCTCGAGTTGCTTATTCGACTGGCATCTCCGTTTTGAGGTCGGTGTTTTGACTGCCTATCCGGTGTAGAAGATTTGAGAAGGCTAACTTGAGTTTGGCATAGTGTAACATGTGCCTGCAGATGTGGATGACGAAGCAGATCTCCTGCCTATTGATTTATAAATCCATTAGAACAAATATAAGACATGCCTACAACCTACCGTTGGGCGATGTTCTGGATTTTTCCTCAGCATGCTCCTGATTATGGACTTTCTGCAGGCAAGTAACAGTAAGTAATAAGAGGCCGCTACGCTTTATAAAGACTTACAAGGTATTGGAATAGTTGTTGGGTAGAGGTCCTACAGTAGACTTGTTGATTTTACTGATCAATCCTTGCATATCCTGCAAGATAAATTGGTAAATCATTGGGAAAGCTTCGGTACATAACTTACGAAGGCTTTGAAAGCAGGTCGGTGAGCAGCCATCTCATACATACAACATCCTAGCATTTCAAAAGATCAAGAAAATCAATGCGACAAGCTTGGAACCATCATCAGCATACCTAACGACCATATATCTGATTTGAAGCCATATGGGATGTCGGCAAGAAGTTCCGGGCACATATAATTTGGGGTCCCAACCACCTGCAATGTTTTCTTCCTGTCAAATTCGCTGCCAAAACAGAATAGAACTTACAGATGAAGCTAGATCATCTGCTTTAAGCAATTTGGCAAGGCCAAAATCTCCTGCTCATATAAAAAATATGCGTCAGCAAGTAGCAAGCAAAATGAACTGAAACTGGCATACCAAGTCGAATGTCTTGATCTTTTGTCAAAAATATGTTCGAGCACTGAAAAGTAGAAGAGCTTGAAACCAAATTCTGTCAGCGTTCAAAACGGTGCCTACCTTCAAGTCACGATGTAGTACGTGATTCGAATGAAGGTATTCCACAGCTAGAAGAAGCTGCGTAAACCACCTGCACAGCTTCTGCAAAATTTCAAAAGCGGTGATTGCTTCTTGTTGCTATGGATAGAGCTATAAAAACCTCTTCAGGAAAGAACGTTCCGTTGGATCTTCTGATCATCTCGGCCCTGGCAAGAAGTCAAACTCATTTTAGTGCTCTGTAGAGACGTAAAGGAGCACCCTCTTACGGTTCAAATGACTTACATATCACCCCCTTCACAATATCCAGTAACGATGCAAACATAGCATCCCTGTTACATCCAGTTATAGTCCATAAGCTGAACAGATCAAAGAGCAACACTCACCTTTTCGACCCAGGATTCCTTGTGGTCGACAATGTACGGATGAGTTATCCCAGCGATAAGTGCCATCTTCGAAATTTACACAAATTCTGTCTCGTGAAAGGAATCCAGAAAGGAAAAGGCTTTACCTCTTGATGAGCAGATCTCCTGCACCTATCAGTCTGTCGCGCAAGCCTGATTTTCTTCAACACATATCTGCAAGAGAACACACTTCATCAGCCAAGAAGAAAAATCTTAGCCAATTCTCAGCACTCACTTCTTCTTCTCGATTTTGTGATTGACGAGTATCGCAGAACCAAATGCCCCTCTCCCAACCTGCTCCATAATCTCGTACTGATCCATCCTGGACTCCATTGCCATTGAATCCGCCTTTTCCTGTTACCCTGTGTGGTCTGCTCCTCAAGAAACTAAATGCACGCCATAACGCTCCCTCTTTAAAGAACTCCCCTTCCCTTGATCCAAAGAAACTTGAGCCACCTACATTACAAGCCCGCTATCTCATCTTGGTAGATCTGCATTGCCCGGACGAAGATCCGGAGAGGACTCTCTTCACTGAGCACCGTAACCTGTCCGCCATAGCCTGTTCCACAGGGAGCATAATCGCGCCGAGGGAGTGGCGACTATAGCTTTGTCCCTATAACCTTTCCATCCGGCATTGAGTTAAAGCGCAGTTCCTGTGGGCCTCTGATCAGAAGAGCTGCGGCTTGCCGACACACCGTCGCGTTAGCGAGCTGGTCTATTCCACGGCAAAGAAGGAATGAGGGTGGAATCTGGCACTGACAGGGCAAGGACAAGGCACGCAGCTGCTCTGGCGATCCACCATAATCTCCGCTTATCCGCTAAGAAATCTCGCCCGGAACCTGGAGATCAATCAAAGGAATAAGAAATCGCTCGAAATCCCCGAGAAAGAAGAGAGAGCGAAATCTCCGACAGGTAAAATCCGAGCTTACCGGCGCTAGAGATTTCGCGGCCGGGAACACGAGCACGAGCGCCTTGTGATCTCCATCGATCTTGATGGATCGTCGCTACCGCTGCTGCGATTGCTGGAGACGCGATTCAAGGCGCCACGCTGCTCTCTTAAATGCCGCTGCTCCATTCAAAGCCCTAAACGAGGAAGTATAAACACTACTACAGAGAGAAAGGGTCGGTTGTGTGTGAGGCTTTCATACTTTCATAGAGGAAAGGAATGGAAGAGCATGCAGTCTTTACGAACACCAGCCTATAACTTCCCATCTTATCCCACAGCCCAGACAAGTAAATCCAGGGAACGTATAGGCTGGTGCGTCATTGTCTCTTGTTAATTACCGGCCAGCTGTTTTTCACAACACACCTTTTACCTTTTTGAGTGATTTTTTTTCACTGCGAAGTAAAAATCACAATCAGCATTGCTGTGTTGATCTAGCATTGCATCATTGATGTCGTACTTTAACCAAACTTTACGCAGCACATGGTTAGAACATTGATGTTCCAGCAATAACAAAAAAATCGAATATATAACCTTGGGAACTATTCTAACTTGTACAACGAACCCGGGGACCACATTTTTCTATCTCTATGTATGGTTTAGGGCATTTGCAAAGAGTGTGTAGGCAGTCACATCTTCTCCACCAAGCTGTGCGGCCGCCAAGGATCCAATGGCAAGATCATTGTGGGCAATGCAATTCGATAGAAGGCATCTCCATTCCAGGGAATCAGGTGCAAATGCCATGGTCGTCAAGAGTTCTCTTGCGTCGTCAAGATACCCAGCCCTGGCAAGGATGCCTAACAAGCAAGAGTAGTGCTGCTTTGTGGGTTCCAGGCTATGATCAAATTTCATGGAAAGGAAGAATCTCTTGCTGGTGTTGACGCCACTGCTGCTGGAAGAGATTAAGATTGGGGAGAATGAAGCATTGTCATGATCTACGATGAGATTGGTCTCGTAGAAAAGCTCCAGTGCCATGGTAAACTGCCCGTTTTGCGAGTAGGCATTTAGCATCGCGCTACACGAAACCAGGCTACGCTCCGGCATTTTGTCGAATATAGATCTAGCGAGATCGAGATGCCCTTCCTGGGCATATGCGACCAGCATTGCGGTCCAGCTGGCAAGGTCCCTGAGTGGGATTCCATGGAATACTCGTAATGACTCTCCCACATGCCCAGATGTGGCATATGCTACAAGCATGGCCGTGCAGGAGAAGGAATCTTGGACGGGGAGTGTGGAATCTTGAAGATGACGTGCTGCCTCGAGCGCTCCAGTACGGGCCAAAGTTGCAACCATTGCATTGCACGAGACAAGATCGACAAATGGAAGTTGATGAAAAATATTCCTTGCGTCTCGCAAATGTTTGGAACTATTCGCTAGAGCGGCCAGCATTGTGGTGGAAGACTGGAGGCTATGAACCGGCATGTTTTGGTACACGGATTTAGACTCCTCAAGATGCCCTTTCACGGCATATGCCCAGAGCATTGTATTCCAGGACACCGTGTTGCGCTCTGGCATCGTATTAAAGATTCTTTTTGCTTCGAGAAGGTTTCCTGCTCGAGCATAAGCCGCAAGAATCGTGTTCCAGGAGATTAAGTCATGCCCGGGACAAGAATCAAACAGTTTCCTAGCAGTATACAGTTGACCACTTTCGGCATATGCAAAAATGATAGCGTTCCAGCAAGCTTGATCTCTATATTCCATCTGATCAAACACTGTAGCTACGAATTCCAGAGAAAAAGAGTGATCTGTAAACTCTCTAATAATTATTGTGCAAGATATAATACTAATTTCTGGGATCTCTTCAAAGAGCTCCCTACATTTTGTAAGATGCCCACCTTTGGCATTTGCAAAGAGAATTGTGTTCCATGCATATAAATCTCGCATTGGCATCAAATCAAACAGAGCCCCTGCCTGGCTAATGCCACCATTTCGTGCAAACGCTCCCAGCAGTGCGGTCCAGACAATAAGATTCCTTCCCGGAAACCGATCAAACAAGAGCTCGGCTTCTCGCAAATGCCCACGCTCACTCAATGCGGTGATCATCGCGGAACACGAACAGGGCGTGAGGATCGGCATCGCTGCCAAGAGCTCCCGCGCCAACTGGAGTCGATCGCTGCGAAGCGCCGCCACGAGCATCAGATCCCAGCTGAAGGAATCCCTTCGCGATCCCAACTTGCGAAAGATCTCGAGCGCGGGATGGACGCTTCCACTCCTGCCGTGCTTCTCGATCATCTTATTCGCGGCAAACACATCAATTCGAGAGGAGAGGAAGAGGAAAGAAACTCTCTCGATTCCATTCATCAATTTCAATTTTCAGCCTCGAGCGATCGACCCATGGGCTGCTTCCTCCAAAACCCGCTGGATCGCAACATCAAACGCATCACCCTCCAGCCGATCAGACCCTCCCCCGTGCGCGTAGATCAATCTGGGCGCCATCTCCAGCAAGCGCGCTCTCATTGCGGCCACCTCCTCGCGCGGGAACCTCCCAAGAACCTCGGAGATGCTCACGTTCCCGCCCTTGATCTCCTCCTCACGGACGAACACAGAGTAGCCACGCGGATCGTCCGGAAGGTGCCACGTGTACTGCGAATATGCCGAGTCCTCGTGGAAGAACACCGGGATACACCCGGCGACGATGGCATCAAACACGGATCGTCGAGTGGCGCTATCGCCGCGCGGCTGGAGGCAAAATTCCGCGCTGAGGAACGCCGCGGCGATGGGCGCCGGATCGTGTCCGCAGCGTCGCTCACCACAGTCGACGAATTTGCACCGCGCGCTCGCCTCGCCCACGCACTGATCCAGCAGTAAGCTCCGGATGCTCGCTTCCTGCGATGGCCGGGGAGCCCCCGCAAACGCGAACAAGTAGCTCCTCCGCGAGCCCCGGACTCTCGCGACCCAATCGCCCAGCTCGCCGCGAGAGCCCGGATGGAACGCAGTCGGGTATGGTACCGCGTGTTGCCGGCGACGAGGATCCCACGGATTCTTCTCCACGAACAGCACGCTCATGCTCGAGAACTTTGGAGACGCGAGGATCGGCGTCCCCCAGCGATCAAGGTCCGGGTTTGATCCAGCTCCAAAGTCCCAGGCTGTTCTTCCCATCACCACGAAGTGGTCTCGACCGCCGCCGCCCTGTTCTTCATCCCAAAACTTCCTCGCGGCGTTCCTCTCGAGCCACTCCGCCACCCCGGCTCCATGCAAGCTCTTGTTGGCGCCGGGGTTGTAGAGGTAGTGCAAGGCGTCCAGCCCGGCGTAGTATGGGACGTAGAACGCGTTTGCTCGAGCTGGATCGTCTGTGAGGCACTCGTAGCTCGCCATTCTCCGGTGGAAGATCACCTCGAGCATGTATGAGTCGGTCTTGTACCACCCTTTTCCCAGCAGCGGCTCGAACTCCTGTGGCACTGGCTGTCCAAATCCGTCGTTGGAGACGTGATCGCAGAAGTTGAGCCAGTTGACAATGCCCGAGTTGCATCGCTCGAGCAGCTGCGAGTTGAATTCACTGGGGAGATCGTAGACGAAGACCCTCTTGCCTTTGCAGCCGTCTACGCTGCTGTTCTTTCCCAGTGAAAGTTCCTGAGAGGTTTGCTCCCGAGTTCCTGGACTCGAGTTGCGAAAGAACAGCAGCGCCATACCGGATACCAGAAAGCAATACAGACTTGCTGTTGCTACTGATTTCTTCATGGATATCTATGCAAGAGGAGATCTGCGTTGGTATTTTCTTCAAGTGACAAAAGAGAAAGTTTGTTGTTACCTTTATTCGGTGGCTCGGGAATCGTTCGTGCTTGAAGAAAACGTTAGCAAGCAGCTTCGAAGGCAAGAAGAAAACTTTCCATAAAGCGAACCTTGAGATCGAGAGAAGTATCGAAATGCATGGGGCCTTCGAATATAAGAGGAAAAGAAAACGAAAAAAGAAAATGACTTGCCGATTAGATGCTTGCCAGCTTCTGAATCACTCTAGACTTTTCCGCGTCGATGATCCCGCATATGGCGTTCACTGATCTCTCTAGTTGCCCGTCCGAGTTAACCACCGCGTAATCAAACTCTTCCAGTCTCTTGAGCTCGTCTCTTGCGGTTGCTACTCTCACCACCAGTTTCTCCATGCTCTCCGTCTTTCTTTCTATCAGTCTCTTCACCAGAGCAAACTCCGACTCTGCGACGATGTAGATGAAAACGGCGTTGGAGCCGAGTATCGAGCGAACTGTGGCAGCTCCTTGGACGTCAACTCTCAAAACGACGTCCTTCCCTTCGGCCAAGCAATCTCGCACCTACATGAAATTAGAAAAACCGAAGGAGAGATAGATAGACCAGCTTACTTGTTTCTTAGGAATCCCTTTATAATCTCCGTAGACCAGCGCATGCTCCAAGAGCTCTTTCTTGTCAATCATCTCCTCAAACTCTTCCTTGCTGACGAAGTAGTAGTCGACACCATGAACTTCTCCGGGACGCTTTTGCCTGCTAGTGGCGGTCACCACGAAATGTATCTCCTTCCTCACTTCTTGAAGCCTCTACACAAGACACAACCATGGAGAAATCAGCCCGAGAAACCAGACAATCCACAAACCTTGATGACAGAGTCTTTGCCAACACCGCTTGGGCCACTGATGACAATTACCAGAGGCTTTGGTGCGGGAACTTGAGGCCCGACATCGAAAGGCGTCCCCAGTGCCTCCTCGAGCTGCGTCATCATTTTCACCTGGAACATGAAGAGCCAACCAGTAAGAACATGAAAGAGAACTAGGAAAAGAACCTTAAGAAACTTACGAGCATAGATATAGATTCATAAGAAGAACAAGGAAATCAAGAACATAGACAAAGGAGAACAAGGAAAGAAGCTTACAACACACACAGGGATTGAAGAAGAAACTTACGAGCGTAGATATTCATAGGAAGAACAAGGAAAAGAAGCTTACAACGCGAAGATGAAACTTACGAGCATAGATAGCAAAGAAAAGAAAGAGCTCCAATACCTCGTTGAGGCCACTGGCGATGTCCGAGGGCGACGCTCCGGTCGAGTCTTTGTCTTTACATCCTGAAGCAAAGCTTGACAAGAGTGAGGACCAGGAAGGAGGAGGCCGATGATGCTTTGGACGCCTACTACCACTCCCACTACACAGCTCACTCACTCTCCCAAGTTTTAGCGAGCAGAACAAGCGGCTGGCAGTCATTCTCTGCGGCGGAAAACGATGGAAATCTCTCACACAGCGGTGGGATTTGACGAGAACAAGCCTCGCGGCTCGAGGAGGGAGCCTAAATGCGCTCATCGATTCCTTCCTTGCTTGTTACAATCCCTGGAAATGCAATGCACGCTACAGCTACATTGCGAGTGTGCCGGATTTTCTAACCAGACATGGATCGCGATGACGCCCTGCCCGCGATCGGAGAGAGCGACGCTTTTTCTTTGCTTCTTCCACGCTGGGGCAAAATTAGGGCAAGCGGGCAAATACCAAAGCCCTAAACAATCGCGGTATAAAGGCCGGGCGGCCACCAAATTTGGACCTCGCTTTTAGGGTTCTTCCGGAAACTTTGGAGGGCTTTTGGCGGGGGAGGGGGAGAGATGGGACGCTGCAAGATTGAGATCAAGTACCTCACCGTCAAGAGCAATCGCAACGCAACCTTTCGCAAGCGCTCTTGCGGCCTGATGAAGAAGGCGGACGAGATCCACATCCTTTGCGGTGCCGAGCTCATGCTGGAGATGGAGCCAGAAGGAGGGACGCCTCGCATCTACGCCTCCGAGAAGCGCAACGATTACGTCTCCAATCCCAGGTACCACATCAACTCCAAATCCAAGCCCAAGGATTCCTCCTCCCCAAAGAAAGGCTCGACTCTTCTCCAAAGCTCCAAAGCCAAAGCTCTCAAGCCCGCGTCCAGGGCGGTTCCAAAGCTCGAGCGAGGCATCAAAGTTCCATCAAAGGCTCCAAAGCTCAAACTCAAGGCTCCAAAGCTCGAATTCAAGCTTCCAGGAGGCTTGGAGCTTCCACAGACAGGCTTCAAACTCCCGAAGATCGAAGCTCTCGACGCACCACCGGCCTTGGCAGCGATCCCCCTCTCGGTTTCACTCCCGCCAAACGAGGACCAGCTCATCGGCTACCAGGGCTTCGACCACCATCAGCTCTTGCAAAACAGCGTCAACTTTGGACTACCTCCCACGAACTTGGACGATCATGGCTCCTCCTCCACCGCCGCCGCCGCCGCCGCCAACACACCCTTCTTCAGCGAAGAACACGACTTTGCAGCCATGGATCCGACCTCCAACAACAACAGCGAGCTCGACAACTTCCCGGACGATCTCTTCGACTTTTCGTCCCTGAAGAACTTCGATCCTGCAAGCGAGGAGCCGTCGGCACAGGATCAGACGACGAACTATCCTTTACCTCCTCCAGCAGTGCCGCAAAACATGTTTGTCATCGGGGACCAGCTCTACTGCTTGCAGCAAGCCGCGGACGGACGAATGGTCTATACCGCTGTTACCTGCTAACTTTAAGCTTACTTAGGACTTCGCGTCAACTTTAGATTTAGAACGCAACGCGGCTTTCGATATTTATACATTGTGTACACGTTGGGTCTTTCTTCCAATTATATCAAAAACAAAGAGAGAGTTTTAACCAAATAAGGAAAAAAGAAAGAATAATAGACAGGAGCTTATCTCTGTCGTTTGGATGAAGAACCAGAAGCTCTGGCTTTTGGATCGTCTTTTTCTTTGTCCCTGTCGTTTGGTTTGAGCCGGCGCTGGAGCTCTTGAGCATGGCGGTGCCACCACGTTTCTCGAGCTCGCCGGGGCATCCTGTTGTAGCGATGGTCCGAGTTGAGCATGTCTTTGGCGTCGCTCCACACGCCCAGGATGTCTTTGCCGTCTTCCGCCAGCTTCGAGGCCGCGTCTAGCGTTATAGCCTCTGCCAGGAGTGCTCGGTATTCCTTCTCACACCGCTGTGTAGAACAACCGTCAATGGGCTGAAACAGTATGAGAAAAGCGTTTACCTCGTACAGGTCCTTGACGTGATCTCTGAATAATCTCTCCCGGTCCGCAGCATCTAGCTCTGGGTTTGTAGCGCGTCCAAGAGCGTCTTTTTCTAGCTTTGGCTTGCTCTCTGTCCACGATGCCTGGCAAAAACAATCAAAGTATAAGATGCATGGCATTTTCAAGAGCATACCTCGGCATCTTTGATTTTCTCCGTGAGAAGAGCCTGATAACCAGTCACTGCATCTTTCCGGCGAGCCTTGGCTCTAACTCTGTCGAGTTCCTGCTCGGTTCTTTCCTTTCGCTTTCGCATCACTCGTTCTCTTTCCCGCAGTTTGTTCTGACAGTTGAAACTTGTAAGACTTAGGACGAAAACTTGCGAGCTGTGCATGCTAACCTCTTCATCACGTTTTTCTTTCGCAGCTCTCTCGACTACCTGTTCAGCAGCCCTTAGTTCTGCTATGTAGCTGTTGAAGATGTTCTCTCTATCCTCGTGTCTTACAGCTTTGCATCGCGGATCATGTCTCACGAGATCTTTGATCTGCACCGACAAGTTGAGCGAATGTACACCTTTTTATACAAGATTAATACCTTCGACCAGCGAGTAGTAGAAGTTATGTCGTTTCTCTCTTTCAGCATAGCCTGGAACTCAGAGGATACAGATGCATAGGCCGCTTTAGCACGTTCTTCCTCCGCTTTCTTCAGCGGTAAGATCCTGCAGAAACATCTAGTTAGAAATGTAATCATTGAAAAGGTGGATGGTGCAGAAGCTTCGGCCAAACACTCGATTTCCATTACAGAAACAAAGTATACCTGCTGTCACCGATCGCAAGTGGAACACATTTCACCTACATAAGGAAAAACCCATGGCTTTCTCTGGCTGATCAAGACTTAAGACTGTGCAAATTAGCATCTGCACCATCCACACAACAAAAGCTTTACTGATGCAGTACTCAGTTTACCTTTCATTGAGTAGCGTCTCCCTTTCTTTGCGATCCAAAGCTTCAAAACGGGGATCCTGATTCCAAATGCTAGCAAAGTTCTCATATGTGGTGCTAGCAGAAAACTCCTGCAACCCCTGGGTATTAGAAAAAAAGAATAACGAAGAAAGCAAAAGGAGTCTTACATTGGATGAGTTTGCCTCGTCCAGGAGTTGTTTGAAACCTTCAACAGCCAACTTTTGTGCAGCCCTCTTTTCCTTTCTCTCTTCCTCTGCCCTTGTCCGAACATAATGCTCAAATATTGAACGCCTTTCAGTGTGGCCAGCAATAGCCTACAGAACCAAAATAAACAGAAAGCAGACCGAGGTCCAAGCGTACCTTGAAGCGAGGATCAAAGAGAATCTTAGGCAGTTCTTTCTCCCATTTCGAAAATGGTGCGACCCCTTTCTCTTTCAACATTTCCTACAGAACACAACAGGAAACAATTAGCTACAAGGAATACAAAAAAGCAAGAAAAAAAAAACAAAAACAGAAAAGAGCAAAGAGTACTACATTAATGCACCTTAAACTGCCGGACGCGTTCTTCCTTTGTTACAGTTGGACCATCCTCTTCACTATCTGATGATGAATCTGATGTAGATGCTTCAGCGTTTTCTTTTGACTTGTCCTTCGACGTATCATCTGCCCCGGCTTTCGCAACCTCTGGTTCTGAGACTGTCGCAATTCCGCCAGAGTATTCCTGCAGTTTCTTCTTTATTGTATCAAGAGCTGTCGGCGTATTTGATGTGCCTTTAGCTTCCCTCCCACCAGTCAAAGCCGCAGGAGCATTAGACACGTCCTTCTTCCCTTTGTCGACAATCTCTGCAGGGATTTGCCAGCTCGTTGCCTTACAGGAAAAGAAAAAGATGTCATGACTTTGCAAAAGCTGCAAAGAAAATTGCCCAGTACCTGCGTTTTAGGATTGTAGTAATACTTTTTCCCGTCATTTGTAGTCACCAGAGACCAATCCGTGCCACTCAGCTTCTCACTGTGAAAAATAATAAAAATTTCCCATAAGAATTGCGGTCCAAATGCAACTCATGATGAACTTACCAGGACACTGGAGTTGGCTGGGACGTGACGTTGCCAGCCTGAACGTAAAAGCAAACATAGTACACACAACTAAGAAGAAAACAAGTTACCTCTCCTTTGAAGCCCGCGGGTTTCTCATACGTAGAATCCCCTGTAACAGAATTATAGTAGTAAATGACTCCATCTTCTGTTTTATGCGCAGCCCAAGCATCTTCCTCAGACACTTCAAATGGAAAAGCATTCTCCGATTTAGAATCACTCACAGCAGTGTGACTTTTGTCTTCGCCAGTAGCAGCAGCAGCAGCCGGCATTTTGTGAGCATGGAAGTCTGGAAGTTCATGGTGTGCTGCTGATCCAGAAATATCAATGCCACTGCCACCCCACACTCCAAACGCAGCACCACCTTGGAAAGGATCGCCCACTGGCCGGAACGATGGATGGAGCTCTTGCCTCTGGTATGGAAGAGAAAAAGTCGGTGGATAGAGAAACGGCCTTTGGGGATGTTGTCCCGGAAGAATCCACTGGTGGTTCGATGGATATGGCGGCGGCTGGACCAAAGGAGAGCTCGCTGGCTGCGACGTTGGCCGTGCTCCAAATATCGATGGCGGAGGAGCGCTAGCGTCCCATCTTACATGCGCGTAGCCCGTGCCATTCGTGGGGCTGGAGCCCATTTGCCCAGATGGCGATGGAGGCTGATAGAGAGGAAGGTTTGGCGAGGAGGCGCCCTGCGAGAGAGATTGCGCGAGAGCGCGCGCCTTTCCAGTGAGAATTTCTAGACTGTGAGGCTTACCGGAGGAGTAGAATTGAGCTGGTTTGGCGCTCGATACGGCTGGAGCGGTGGCGCTGGGTAGCCTGGAAACACGGCGCGCTGCATTTGGCCTGCTTGCCAGTGCCCCTGCGACGGCGATCCTTGCCCTGGGAGCTGTTGCCACGCCGCCGGCGACGCCATCCAAGGATTCAAACGAGATTTCTCCTCTCGCCCTACCCTAAAAGTTTAGGGCTTGCTCGCATTTTCCAAGATTCTTTTTCTCTTCCATAATTCAACAATCGATCTCTCCCACGTAAGATGGTTTTCGAAGGTAATGGCTCACTGATTGAGGGAAGCTGCGCTGAAACCTTTCATTCCCGACCGATTGGTCCAAATCAGCATCCTGTCTGTGGCCTGCTTGAAGATAATACTTCGCCACCCGGTCAGTACGATCCCCAAGATCTTGAGATTAACTACAAAACACATTCTCGCCATCCTTGTAGTCGGGCCTGCACAGGATGACGAGTCCACATTGTCAATTGGGTACTGTAGCCTGGACCTTTTCACTGCTTTCAGATGGGACGTTTGACGGCATTGTTCGGAGATGATCTTGCTGACTATATCTATTCCAGCCCGCGCCCTATTAAACTTTTAGCACCACTGTTTTAGAATATAGCCTTTTTGTAGGTTGTAAACAACTCTGCAATACGCAACAAATAGGAACATAGTGAGAGGTTGACAAAGGGGGGCCATCCAAATATTCGGATTTGAATAAAATACGGTTTCGAGGCTCTAAAAGGTATTGCACAGAGATGTTTTTCTAAGGGGAAAAAAACAGGAATGGCAGTGGGTTTGTAAACTTGATTAGCTTGAATTTTGTCGTTGATGGGGCGGAACACCTTATCTTCCGAGACTGAATTATTTAGCAGATTAAAAGTCGTAAACAAGTTGTAAACATCAAAAGCGGCCTTCCAACCGCCATTCATTGATTTTTCCATGTCACCTCAGAAACCAGGAAGGGAGGTTTCGTCTCCTTGCATAAAAATCTGTAATAATCCGTCTCTAAATCCCTAAACATGCGGCGCAGGAATCAAACCTCTTCCGGAAAAGTTACGATTCCTCGCTGTTGCGAAGAGCGGCAAGCCGATCCAGGAGCCGCCACGCGCTTTGGATCACAGTGCGCATGTCCACCCTCGCATCTGACTTTGCCCGGCGCCACTTGGCACCCGTTGTTGTGCAATTCCACTTCTGTCTCTCTCTCTCTCACTCACTGTTATACTTGCGCCGACAATTGATCCATGCAAACCTCAGTACGAACTTTGACACTCTTTGTGTTTTTTATTTTTTAATTTATTTTTTGGCATAAATATCTCTGTCAATGATCGAAGGCAGCAATCTCGAGAAGAATCCCAGCAAGCTGGATGCATGGATCAAGGAACTAGCATCCTTCGTTTGCGTATTCCAAGAAGCCATTGCCGTGCATGCAGCGTAGAGTAAAATAATCTCGCTCGTGTTTCCTCTGTGTTCAAACTTTCGCTATCAACAAGGGAGTGAGAGGAGCAGCCGCCGCCCTATTCACAGCCGTTGAGCTGCCAAGAAAGAAACTGAACTTGGACATTGGCAGACGTGTGCTGCTTGATCCTCGGGTAAGCAAGCGTTATAGTTTGAGATTTGTCGAGATTTTTCCAAGTTTTTTTTATCTCCTAGGCTTTTTGTTTTTTTCTTCTTTTTTAATCTACACGTAAAATGTGCTCCTTGTTCCTCGAGTTCACAAACCCGGACGAGCGTGGGCCACCAAGCGATGAAAAAAAAAAAATTCGCTAATTCCATTCTCTCTCTCTCTCTCTCTCTCTCTCTCTCCCTCTCTCTCCCTCCCGTGAAATTCCGGAGATGATTGGTATGTTTAGATGATCTTTGCCCCTTGGCTTGTTTGTTCTTAAGTCGTGAATAGCTTTCTCTTCCTTCCCTTCTCGCACTGACAGTCTTCTTTGTTTGCGCTTTTGTTTTGCTTTTCTTCTTCCAGGGTCACAGGACCGGCGGATGAAGGAAGAAAGAAATTTCTTTGAGCTTAATGATCCTAATGGCCTAAAAAAAGAGAACTCATCGTCTCCGGGAAATTTAGGGTTAGGGATGGTGCGCATTCTACCAAGGAATGGCGGATTCTAGGCGCGCCTCCTCGCAATTCGTCGACGATGCCCGACCGATGAGCTGAATTCGCAGGAATCGAGGCGTCGGCGGCGGCGACGCCAAATCGGGGGTCGTGAATCGGGGGCTATGTAGCAGCGCGCTAGTGTTCTTGCAGGATTCTTGTGATTCCAGCTAGGGTATAGGCGCGCAATCATCATGAGCGGGAGGATTCCGGTCCATGGATGCAGTCGAAAATGTGCTGCATGGGATTGTGGGAGCTCTGAGCGCATGGATTCCGGGCGGCGGTGCTGGAGCCGGGGATTCTAGCATGTCCCGCGAGTTTTGGATGCCCGATCAGAGCTGCCGTGTCTGCTATGAGTGTGAATCGCATTTTACGATCTTCAACCGGCGCCATCACTGCAGGGTTTGCGGGAGAGTCTTCTGCGGCAGGTGCACGCTCAATACCATCTCGGCTTCGTCGATCAATCTCGCGCCTCCAGAGGCGCCGGAGGAGGATTGCGAGCGCATCCGGGTGTGTAATTTTTGCTACAGGCTTAGGCAGCAGCAGCTGGGCAAAGGGGATTCTTCTTCTCTGGAGCCGGCGGTGACGAGCCCGTCTCTCACTCCAACGTCGTCTAGGAGTAGTTTGATTAGCAGTAACACCAGCGGTAGCACGTCCATGGCTTCCCCTCGAGCGGCGCTGGCTTCTTCCGAGAGGCGAGGTGACGAGAGCGATGACTTAAAGCAAGAAGAGTATGGCAAACATTTGTCGTTAAGCATGAGGTAAGTCTGTTCGCTTCCCCAGTTTCCTTTTTTTTGCGATTCGCCAACGTTGGAAACCTTCACAGGAGCGATGATGAAGACGAAGGGAGGAAAGGACGCCAACAAAACCATATATCTCGCGGTAATCAAGACGGTGGTCTGGATACGCATCTCAAAAGCCAAGCTAGCTACTACTCGCAGAGCTCCGAGAGCTTCGATGACAAGGGGGATACGTCCGAGAGCAGGCCGCCCAGCGAGAGGTCGTTCCGGCGTTCGTGCGATGATATTGAAAGCTTGGATGACGAGAACAATTTCCGGAACCATCTCTACGAGGCCGCGTGTCGGGAGGTCGATAAGTCGGTGGACTTTGAGAATAACAAGCATGTCTGGTACCCTCCACCACCGGAAGAAGACGAGGACGAAACGGGACCTGGATACGAGGACGAGGACGACGACGATGAAGGTGGCTGGGGTCTTCCACGGTCGTCCGGAAGTATGAGCAGCACTGAGTATAGGAGCCGGGAACGCGCTGCTTCGGAAGAACATCGAAAGGCCATGCGAGCCGTAGTTGACGGTCACTTCAGAGCTCTGGTGGCACAACTCCTTCGCGGTGAAAACATTTCCGTCGATGATGAAGATGAGAAGGATAGCTGGCTTGACATCGTCACTGGATTGGCTTTGCAAGCAGCAAGCATCGTCAAACCAGATAGCAGCAGGGGAGGTAGCATGGATCCGGGAGGCTACGTGAAGGTGAAATGCATCGCATCTGGTCGGCGGTCCGACAGGTACGTTGGCATGCTGTAAAGCTGACGAAACAACATGTTCCTTGTTGCAGCATGATCATCAAAGGTATTGTTTGCAAAAAGAACCTTGCACATAAGAGGATGATTACGCGGTTTAAGAATCCGAGGCTGCTTATTATTGGTGGTGCGCTGGAGTATCAGAGAGTTTCGAACCAGTTTTCGTCGATGGACACTCTACTCCAACAGGTATGCCTCTCTAGGTGCGGCATTGTCTAACCTTCTGCTATAGGAAAGGGACTACCTGAACATGGCTGCGGCAAGGATCGAGGCTCAGCATCCCAATGTCGTGCTCGTTGAGAAAGGAGTAACTCGTTTTGCGCAAGACCGTTTACTGGCGAAAGAAATATCGCTGGTGCAGAATGTTAAGCGTCCTCTTCTGGAGAGGATTGCGAGATGTACTGGTGCTCAAATCATATCCACACCAGATAATCTCGCGGCACCAAAGGCTGGTCACTGCGAGCTTTTCCACATTGAGAAGTTTGTAGAGGAGCTCGGTAGTGCTGGCCAAGCAGGCAAGCAACTGTCCAAGACACTGATGTTCTTTGAAGGATGTCCAAAACCTCTCGGATGCACTGTAAGCATTCTCTATGGTTTGAGCTTTATATCTAATGTGAGTTTCATTGACAGGCTTTACTGAGGGGCGCTAATGGAGACGATCTGAAGAAAATTAAACGTGTTCTTCAGCTCTCTGTCTTTGCATCCTATCATTTGGCTTTGGAAACATCATTTCTTGCCGACGAAGGTGCCTCTCTCCCCGACCACAGGTCGCCTATAGTCGTCACGCTGCCTAGCAAGCAATCCAGCTCCGACCGGTCGATCACATCGATCCCCGGTTTTTCAGTAGCGACCGCAGAAGGTCAACGTGTTCCTCCAGTTTCTCCTTCTACACTCACCAGCAAAGGTGCGGAGACGAATAATACGTTGATGCACTCAGCAGGTCTAAATGGCTTTACAAGGGATTGGCAGTCGAGTTTATCAGATTTTACTGGGGAAAGTCTTTCCGGGTTATCAGTTTCTCTGAGAAGAGCCTTCGGTGAGGAGGCAATGAGAACCAATGCAGAACAATGGAACGTATCTGCTGACAGGTCTCCAAAGGAAAATGCGGAGTCATTTTTTTTGCAAGAAGGTGATAGAGAAGGATCAGACGCAGATGAACAGAGTGGAAAAGACGATTTCCCTCCAACGCCCTCCGACCACCAAAGTATTCTCGTATCGCTGTCAACACGGTGTCTCACCAAGGGATCTGTTTGTGAACGGCCCAACATAGTTCGGATAAAGTATTACGGAAACTCGGACAAGCCACTGGGAAGATTTTTGAGAGACACCTTGTTCGACGGCGTAAGTTGCTATCGTCAATTTTTCTTCGCTTCTCATCCTGCTTTAATGCAGAACAATCGCTGCCAACATTGTGATGAACCCGCCGACGCACACATTCGCTGTTATACCCATCGCTTGGGTAGTCTGACGATCTCAGTTCGACGGATGGACGACCATACTTTACCTGGTGAAAGAGATGGAAAAATATGGATGTGGCATAGGTGCTTAAAGTGTCCTCGGACTGACGATCTTCCGCCGGTGACTCGTAGAATCGTGATGTCTGATGCCGCCTGGGGTTTATCGTTCGGAAAGTTTTTGGAACTGAGCTTCTCTAATCATGCAGCTGCTAGCAGAGTCGCTGTATGTGGCCACCAACTTCACAGAGATTGTTTACGATTTTACGGGTGAGGGTTCTCGATTACGATTTTGTTCTCTTTTTAAATCTCGTAGATCTAACGACTGTTTTGATACAGGTTCGGCAATATGATAGCGTGCTTTCGCTATGCTTCTGTTCATTTGCATTCAATTCATCTTCCTCCTCCAAAGTTGGAGTTTAACGATCCGAGCCAACAGGAGTGGCTCAGGGACGAAGCTAATGAGGTACATTGTTGTTTAAAGACGATTTGGCTTTTAACATATGACGTTAAGATTGCCAACAAGGGAGAGCTGGTTTTCACGGAAATACTGGATCATTTACGTGTTATTGGCGAACATATTGCCAGCTCGGGCTCCTTTTCTGGAAGCGGAAGAAACGCCGAAGCTAGAAAACGTGCTGTGTACTTGGAAGCGTTCTTCCAAAAAGAAAAGGCCGAGTTTGAGGTGGGTGGGTGTCGGGCAATTCAATGCTCATAACATGGTTCGTTTGGCAGAAGACACTGTTGAAAGCTGTTCCATCACATACTGATCCAGGACAGCCAGTCGCAGACATTCTGGAGCTCTGTCGTCTGCGAAAGGACCTTGCTCTCCGGGCCATGGAGTGGGATAAACGTCTTCATTACTTTGCTGCCTCTCAGCAGCGAAAGTATACGTCAGCAGGTTCAGATCCGGGGATGCTACCTGACCAGCCTGTCCCGAGCAAGGACGCGTCTGTGAAGCCAATATTGAAGACATACTCAAATACGAATGTGCAACCATTTGCTTCGCTTGTCCACGACGAAGAAGCGGACAAACCAACTTCCGTCAAAGACGATACAGTCGTGGTACATGATATGGTTTGCAACATGGATATGGTGGACGGCATTCCTTGTTTGCCTGTGGCTCCTGCCGAGCCAGAGGGTACCGAAGGGGTTACAGAGGCACTTGGTTTGGATGTAGACCTCAGGAGGACACTCTCTGAAGGCAGTTGTCCGGTTGTCGCCGATATCTCTCATACGCTAGATGCTGCATGGAGTGGCGAGACACAAGCAGCTACAGAGGTTCCATGCAATGCGGAAGACCATGAAAGCGCCAAAGCCTCCGAGGCAGAAGTTACTGGAGAGAATGGAAGTAAGAAGGAGCACTCACCTACGAGCTCGACAAGCCAACCCGATGAAGAGTTAACAGCGTCACGGCAAAAGGAGTTTGACGAGCTCGGCAACTGGATTGATGGACCATACTCGACGTTATACAGGGGTAGAGGGGCTTCAAGTCAGTCGCCGTCAACCTCTTTTATATCCCAGCAGGCTTTACAAGGTGGAGCACGGCTTTTCTGGCCACCTGGTGTGAATGGCACCGTGAATGCGGTTTACGAAGACGAGCCTACGAGTATCATCGCTCATGCACTTTTGTCGCAATACTACGTGACCGAGCTCGGTGGAGAGAAAGGGAAGGGACAAAGTGGAGAAAAAGAGAATGGAAGTGCGGTGGTGTCTGAGGAAGCGTCCTCACAAGTTCTCGAAGAAGGGGTCATGAAGGAGAGGTCCAACAGCTTCAAAGACGCTTCTTCAAATGGGAAGGTTGAGGATCCTTTATTGAGCACAAAGGGGGTGAACTTGAAGATCGAGAACTCTGAGACAGGTCCGGATGCGAAGCTGAAATACATCGTCACCGCCTACTACGCCAAGCACTTCGATGCGCTGCGGAAGAAATGCTGCGCTGGTGACTTGGAGTTCGTGCGGTCGTTGAGCAGGTGCCGCAAATGGGGAGCACAGGGTGGAAAGAGCAACGTCTTTTTTGCCAAGTCGATGGACGACAGATTCATCGTGAAGCAAGTGACGAGGACGGAGCTTCTCTCTTTCCTGGAGTTTGCACCGGAGTACTTCAAATATCTCTTCGATTCCATAAACTCTGGCAGCCCGACCTGTCTGGCTAAGATTCTGGGGATGTATCAGGTAAACTTTTGTCATTCACCTGAAAACTTGTTTCATTGTTTCTTTTGACGCTAGGTGATCATAAAGCAAGTCAAGGGAGGCAAGGAAGTACGCATGGATTTGATGGTCATGGAGAATCTGCTCTATGGCAGACACGTTACTCGGCTATATGATTTGAAAGGCTCAGTGCGCTCTCGTTACAACTCAGACTCCACGGCAAAGAACGCTGTTTTGTTGGACCAGAACCTGTTGGAATCCATGCCAACGGCACCCATTTTTGTCGGGAATAAAGCCAAGAGGCTTTTGGAGCGAGCGGTATGGAACGACACCTCATTCCTTGCGGTAAGCAATGGTTTCTCTCTTTTTTTTCTTCTTCGCGCTCACACTTTTATACTGGTTTTGTAGAACATAGATGTCATGGACTACTCGCTACTCGTTGGGATTGACGAAGAACGAGGGGAGCTTGTCCTCGGGATTATTGACTTCATGCGGCAATACACATGGGACAAGCATCTGGAGACGTGGGTCAAGGCTTCGGGCATTCTCGGAGGCCCAAAGAACGCGCCGCCGACCGTGATCTCTCCCAAGCAGTACAAGAAGCGCTTCCGCAAGGCCATGTCGACGTACTTCGTTACTGTTCCCGACCACTGGACTCCTCCCTCGGTCATCAGCGCTTGTCCGGGGCCGGAGGAGAGTGGAAGCAGCAGCCACAACAATGGGAGCTCCACCACAAACGGGCAGGACGAGTACGGTGAAAGCTTTGGAGGCTGAGCGGAGCTCCGGGCTATCCATCCATCGATCTACCGATCGACCGGCTTCCTGGAATGGTACGTATTTCTAAAGTTCTTGAAGTTGATGCTCATTTTCTCCAGAGATTGTCCGCGAAGTTTGCGTTAAGGTTTCGTCGTAGCAGATTAAAAAGCATGAGAAGTAAGAAAAAGTTTTGTCCAGTTCGCTGGGGAGCCATTTCCCCGTCGTCGGTGTATTCATTCATTACTCGGCATATTGTATAGAGTGAATTGTCATCGTCCTTTATTTCTTCCGTTTTGATAAGGCGAGTTTAGAAGGTGGCAGGAAATCTTGAGATCACCCAAACCCTGTGCCTCTTCTGAAATGATGTTTTCGTTTTCAATCCAGAATCTTCATAATCTACAAAGTCCTTGTTCCTCGTATATGGATTCGCATGCCATATGCTGTTGTTTCCCAACTTCCGCCACTTCAGATTTCTCACGAGTAACAAGTGGAACTGTGCCGCCTGCGAAAATTTGTAAGACCTGTTCTTCGCTCTTTGAAATTGTTGAAAAAGTACATTCGACGAACTTGCAGCATCAAACTCGTTGAATGAGATCATCACAATCACAATCACATTCATCTATGCAAAAAGTGCAGTAACGAAGGGGTGGTTCGGAAAACACCCTGCACGGAGGGAAGAGCAGCTGTCCACGTTGGAATATGCTTCTTGTTCAAAAATGAAAATGAACTATGAAATTGAAACACCTTTAACACCCACATGGCAAAACTTAATAGTTTTAATTGCACTTTTGTGCTCAGTGGAGAGAAAAGGAACGTACAGAGAGTATCTGAGGAGGCGTCCTCACCAAGGAGAGTTCCAAAGGCGCTTCTTCAGATGGGAAGGTTGAAGATCCTTTATAGCAGCAAGGGTCAGGCATTTCGATGCGCTGTGGAAGAAATTTTGCGCTGGTAAGCTTTGGCTATCGTTGAGCAGGTGCCGTAAATCGGAAGCACAGGGTGGAAAGAACGTCGTCTTTTTTGCCAAGTCGATGGACGACAGATTCATCGTGAAGCAAGTGACGAGGACGGAGCTTCTCTCTTTCCTGGAGTTTGCACCGGAGTACTTCTTCAATTCTCTAGACTCTGGCAGCCCGACCTGTCTGGCTAAGATTCTCGGGATGTATGAGGTAAAGGTTTGGTCATTCACTAGGAAAGCTCATTTCTGGTTTCATTGTTGCTTTCGACGCTAGGTGATCATAAATGGATTTGTTGGTCATGAAAAATCTGCTCTATGGCAGACACGCTACTCGGCTATATGATTTGATTCATCCAACACATGTGAGTCTGTTTAGGCAAGTGAATATGTTGCTCTTGTATTCACTACCCTGGAGCAGGGTGCAACATACTTGCCGCAAATAGCCTTCGTGAATGCCACAGTGGTCCTGCTGAGGGGTTATGTTTCTCAGCTCAAGCCCGGCTCTGGACTAACATGACCTCCAGCTCCAGACCTTCTGAAAGCAATGACCTTGAGCTGAGAGACATAACCCCCCAGCAGGACCATTATGTTATCCGTAAATGCTATTTGTGCCAAGTATGTTGCACCTTGCTCCAGGGCAGCCAATACAAGAGCAACATATTTCACTTGCCTAAACATGTGGGTCCGGAGCCGGAGGAGAGTGAAAGCAGCAGCCACAACAATTGTGAGCTCTGGGCAGGAATGCTTTGGAGGCTGAGCCAAGCTCCAAGCTATCTATTTATCCCTTCCATCGATCCATCAATCTACTGATCGACCGGCTTCCTGGGCTGGTATGTATTTTCTAAAGTTCTTGAAGTTGATGCTCGTTTTCTCTAGAGATTGCGCAAAGTTTGTCCACCTTTACTTTAGTTCCAACTAATAGTGATAAAGATAAAGGGCTCTTCTTACCATCACGAATCCGACACGTACACGTGGCATTGTCTAATTTCTTCATTTGCGCGTTCCAAGCGTTGGAGCGAGCCCCGGGCACGCGGGAGCTGGAAGGCTTCAAGCCCTAGCCTAGGGCGCGAGGGGGGAGCGAGCGGCCTCGCGCGCTCTCGGCTACCACAGGTACGTGCGTGGCAAGCGATCGCAAGCCCTACGTCGATCGAATCCGGCGTCGCCCGCCGAGCAGCAGCATTGATCGCCGCCGCCGCGATCGCCTGTCCTGGCCTGGAAGAGGTTTGGATGTAGGTAGGATCATCAAGAGGGGGCACAGGGATAGCGGGCATGTACATTGCGAATTTGGACCTTTTCGTATGCCTTCCGTGAGACTGGATTTCTGGAAAGATGGAGGGGAAACTGCGGCGCTTCCCACTCTCGCTCTCGCTCCAGGACCTCCGGACGATCTCGGCACCAGCGGATCTCGAGGCCGCGTCTTCGCTAGACTGTTTCCAAGAGGATCCCCGTGGAACAGCGTCCAAGAGCTTGGGTTTCAGCCTTCCAGTGTACCATAGACCGGTCAGATGGCGAGTTGCTGCTGGGCTTTTGGTGCTCTCGCTGGTGCTGCTGCTCTTGTTCCTGGGATTTCTCTGGGGGAGGAGTCTGTGGAGCCAGGAGGAGCCGATCAAGTTCGCGATTGTGATGGACTGTGGCAGCACCAGCACGAGAGTTTACGTCTATGGATGGGTTCACAACGGAGGATCTATCCCGGTTATGTATCGGCCACCTTCTCACAGCAGCGCCAATGCGAGAGTGAAGAAGGCTTACCACCGGATGGAAACGGAGCCTGGCTTCCACCAGCTGCTGCACAACGAGAGTGGCCTTGGCGCTGCTGTCCAGCCGCTGCTCGACTGGGCCAAGCAGCAGATCCCGGCTCGCTTGCACGGGGAGACGCCGCTGCTTCTCCTGGGAACGGCGGGCTTGCGGAAGCTGGCGACTGTAGACTCGGAGTGGCTGCTGGACAAGGCGTGGGGAATCATCGAGAAGTCGCCGTTCAAGTGTAGGCGGAGCTGGCTGAGGATCATCAACGGGGTGGAGGAGGCCTACTATGGATGGGTGGCGTTGAACTATATCCTCGAGAGGCTGGGACAGGACGAGACGAAGATGACGCTGGGGACTGTTGGTTCTCTGGATCTGGGAGGCTCGTCCCTGGAGGTTACTTTCGAGCCGGGCGAGCCGATACGGCCAGACTACGGTGTGAATCTCAGCTTTGGTCAGGAGGAGCATCGGGTGTATGCGTACTCCCACTCTGGTTTCGGCCTCAACGATGCGTTCGACAAGTCCGTGGCGCTCCTCATGCACAACTCGAACGTGAGAAACGGGACTTTGGAAGTGAGGCATCCGTGTTTGCACTCCGAGTACCAGCAGTCTTACTCCTGCTCGTCGTACTGCGTGGCTCCTCCGTCCACTAACCGGGGAGCAGGCGAAGGTGGCGTTCCTATAGTTTTAGTTGGAGAGCCTCACTGGGGAAAATGCCAGGCGCTCGCTCGTTCCGTCATCAACTCGTCGAGATTTACAACGCGGTCAGTAGATTGCGAGCAGAGTAACTGCGCGCTGGGGAAGTATCAGCCACGGCCGATCGGACAGTTTTACGCAGTGGCTGGGTTTTTTGTCATGTACAAGTTTTTCGGCCTGTCCTCCAAGGCGTCGCTGGACGATCTCTTGAGCAAAGGACAGGAGTTTTGTGGGAAGCCGTGGCCGGTTGCCAGGGACAGCGTCGATCCACAGGGATTTATCGACCGCTACTGCTTCCGAGCACCGTACGTGGTGGCGCTGCTTAGAGAGGGCCTTCACTTGAGGGACGAGCAAGTAACAGTCGGGCCAGGGGACGTGACTTGGACACAAGGCGCTGCCCTGCTCGAGGCCGGAGTGCTGGAGAAGAGCTCACGCTCACACAGGAAGCAGAGGTGGTGGTTTTATAGCCCGTCCTTCTTGCTGCCAACGCTGCTGCTTTTTTCGGCGGCCGCGGTTCTCGTTGTGCTACTTCACTGGTGTGGAAGGCAGGCGTCGTACTCGAGCATTCTTCCGTTTGATTCAAAGCCGGGTGCTGCGAATGGAGGAGGCTCGCGAGGAGTGTCGCGGTGGCCACTCAACTTCGTGCGGCGTGGTAAGAAAAGCTTCCTTCTGTTTCTTTCATGTCTCGTTTGTTTTCCTTCTGATTTTGTGAGCGAAACCCGTGCAGGAGTGAAGTCGCCGCAAAGTCCCGCTCCGACGCCGTCCAAGAACATCTTCGAGGATCTTCATGCATCCTCGCCGCTGCTCTTGGAGGGTGATGCGCTGAGATTGCCACCGGCGGGTCCTGGACTGGGCCGAGCACAGCATCTCGCCAGCGCAATGATGCAGCTCAAGGTCGGCTCGCGGCTGCAGAGTCGGAGAACTTTGTCCAAGGAAGATCTTAACAACTTATAATGCTCACTCACTGGTAAGCTCAGCCATTTTCCTGTTCTTCTGGTTCCAATGCGTTCTTAGTGTTTCTTTACTTGTGTTCCTCGTTGTTTCGTTAGTGTTGTGGTTCGCTTTAGTTTTATTTCTTTAGTTTTGTTCTTCGTTTATCCATTCTTTCATGGCTCTATTTATTTTCTCCCTTGCAGCCACCATTGATCGATAGCTCCACGGAATTTATATAAGAATTTTTTGCTTGAATAAAAGCCTGAGAACTTAAAGCATACATTAACAAGCACGTCATCTCCACAAGCTCTTGCTCAACAAGAAATGTATAAACATCAACGTAGAAGCGACAGATCCTTTTTGGTAGAATACAAATCGAATCTTTACATGACAATCTCTGGCTTCATGATGTTGGCCTTGATCTCCTTGTGTGGAAGAACCACACCACCATTGCTATAAATCTCGTCCGACACATGCACGTCCTCGCCAAGGACCGTCATGTTCTCCACACGAGCCCATTGCCCGACTGTGGAGTGCCAGCCGATGATACTCCACGAAACGCACGCGTGCTTCTTGATCCGGACCCCCCTCATCACCGTGCAGTGCTTGAGCCGGACTCCATCCTCGATCACGCACCCCTGCCCGATCGAAACATCCGGCCCCAAGAGACAGCCTTGTCCGATGCTGGCACTCTCGTCGATGATCACGTTGTCGACGACGTTGGAGCCGCTCGCGAGTTTCTCTGGAGATTTCTTCCTCAGGGACTCGAGGTAGAGCTGCAGGCCTGTGATGTAGTCCTTGGGCTGTCCAATGTCCATCCAGAATCCCGGCAGGACCATGGCAAAGAGCTGCTTCTCCTGAGCGATGCCTGGGAAGACCTCCTTCTCGATCGACGTTGGCCGCAGCTCGATCCGGTCCAGGACGCTCGGGTTGAGGAGATAGACCCCGGCGTTGATCTTGTTTCCGACAAACGTTTGTGGCTTCTCCACGAATCTGTGAACCAGGCCAGTGTCTTCGTCCAGCACCACGACTCCATACTTGGATGGCTCGTCAACCTTCACAGGGATTCTCTGTTAGATCTGGAGCAAAGGGAAAAAAGGAACAACGAAAAGGAGGAAGCGAAGCTTACCTGTGTGACCATGATCGAGGCCTCTCCTTTGTGCTGCTTGTGGAAAGCTATCATTTGCTCCAGCGGGTACTCGCAGATAACATCACTGTTGAGGACGAAGAATGGCTCCCCAGAGCCGTCGAGTAGCTTGTCGCGAGCAAGAGCCAGAGGCCCCGCAGTCCCCATCGGCTCTCGCTCCTGCGAGCAAGTGATCTTCACGCCCAGCTTCGCCTCGAAATCCTTTAGGAAGCTAAGCATCACCTACAAGGACAAAGAGAGTGAGCCTTTTCCTACAAATTCCCTTGACAAATCTTACCTCTGGCTGGTAACTGATCGCCAGAACTACCTCCGTGACTCCCACAGCCTTGAGCGCCTCGATCTACAACACACAAGAGTGAGATCTGGCAGCGGGAGAGCTGGATCTAGCCCCTAGATTGAAATTTCAACGCACCTGGTGGAAGATCATCGGCTTGTTGGCGAAATCTACCAGCGGCTTGGGCAGGCTGAGCGTGAGCGGCCTCAGCCGGGTGCCAAATCCTCCGACAAGAATCAGCGCCTTCATCTCTTCCTTCTTCCTCCTCGCAGCGAAACCTAGGCCTCTAGGGACAAGAAGTTCTTCGCGCCCTTGCTCTAGCAAAATCCTAATTCCATGGCCCTCTTTAAATAACCCCCACCAAAAAGGTTGAGCGCCGTAAAGGTACTGGGCGATAATTAGGTCATTGTTTAAGAAGTTACTACCAATCTCAACCGCTAGATCGTATTAAAATCCGACGGACCAGAACATAAACTCTCAACCGCTAGATCGTGTTTAATCCAACGGACCAAAAACGATAAAATCACACGCACTCAGTCTCGAGGCCGTACTCGAGGAAGTAATTCCGGAATTCTTCCCACACCACGTCCCCGTCGCCGTTGGCGTCGAGCTTCTTATACATGTCTTCCAAGAGTTCCTGTCACAAATCCAACGAGAAAACTCGTAAGGTTCTCATCATGGAACATGAGAGATTTGCGTAAACTTTTGAGAGATTTGGAGTAAACTTTGAGCATACCTCGGGGACGTTTCGATGGCCGCACTTGATGTCTGTGAGATCCTCCATCATCAGAAGCAACTCGTCGCGGCTGAGCTTGGTGTCTTTGTTTATGTTGTAGCGGTCCCAGATCCTGTGCAGCAGGAAGAATGTGAAGAAAAGAGAAAAGAAAAGGGAAGAGACAAACAACCGACCTTCGCAAGTCACCCTCTTGCAATTTGGTGCTCTGCAAATGACATATAAATGCTTTGCCTGGTGCTGCCCAAGACGCGGACAGATAATCCACGGACTGCATGTGGTTGAGTCGCGACACGGTCCTGGCAAACGCAAATTCCTCGTCTTTTTCTTCGTATGCGGTCGTTCCGCCCTTTTCTTCTCTCGGCTTCACGACTCCAGCAACTGGCTGGTCGTCCTCTAGTCTGCAAAGACAATGAGTCGTGGTTTTCAATGTTTTTCATAGAAGTACTAACCTTGGGAGGTATAGATCTCCAGGCTGTGCGTCCGCGCTAACGATTAGTTTAACTTTCTGCAAAAGAGATTCCTGTGAGATAAACAAACAACCCGCTGAGAGTCAAACTTACATGCTCGTAAAATACATCAACAAGCGTGATGAATCTCCTTGCCTGTAACGCGCACAAGCGTCGGTCAGAAAACGAGTGGCGAGGAAGTTGTTTACCATTTCAGCATGAGAGCGTGTCATTCTAGGAATGCCGGCGATAAACACGGTATGGAAGGACGCAGCTATGGCGATGTAGTCGGCTGCGCCTTTGAAAGTTCCACAAAGTTCATAGAAGGTGAAGTATGCAATTCCACCAGCGGCCCTTGGTACTGCACGAGTCAAGATCGTTAGCTGCAAGGTTTGAGTAAGCTGCTTGGATACATACCAAAGATGGCCCTGTTACTCTCTTTCAAAACAGTCGTAAAAATCGGTCTATCGCCAGCAAGCTCGAGGAAAGAGCGCTCCAGGGCTTTAGAGGTCTCTTCGTTCAAAGGCATGTGCCATACGACAGACAGGGAACTACCAAAAACCACGTAGATTAGAAAAAGGCCGGCAAAAATTGCAACTAAAGACAGAATACCTGGAACCATCGGGACGTGCACCTATTAGACGATAGTCTGGAGAGTTTGGACGAAAAACATGGACCTCGCAGCGGCTCTTAATAAGCTCTATGCAAGGTAGAAAGAGGTCTCTTTGCAAACCATTTTTGTAGAGCTGTATATGCAAGTAAGCACGTAAAGAAGAAATTTTCAATCCTTACTTCAGAAGGTGCACGATTCGAGGATGCTACCATCACTGCCCCTGATCGAAAAAGGTTCTCCAAAAGCCTTCTCAGTATCATAGCGTCAGCGATATCTATGACCTGCAAGAAGAGAACAGGAGCGTTAATAGTTAGAAACAAAAGTATTTTGAAAGGACAACCAGAGCACGCAGACCAAGCAGCTTTGGTTCTTACAGAAAACTTATTTACGTGGTGAGGGACAAATGGAGACCACTCCTACTGGAAAAATCAATCAATTACAGTACACACCTGACAAAAAATGAAGCGAGATCAGGATCCCTTTAAAACAAACGTCACTGAGAAAGCTCACGCACTTGAAACTCGTCAAAGCAAAGCAGCCAACCAGCCGCCAACAAGTCCCGAGCTACTAATTCGATCAAGTCGCCTGACTTCCCTTGTCCTTGCAAGCGCTTCTCATGCAATCTACACACACAAGAGTAGAGAATTTGTTCTTTTCTTCTTCAAGGAAAACAATGTATGTTGAAGTACCTCTTGTGGACGTCGAGCATGAACTGGTGAAAGTGAACTCGTCTCTTACTTCTCACAGGACTACAGTGAAAGAAGATATCTTGAACGAGAGATTTTCCAGTGCCGACTCCTCCATAGATATACACCCTGCAAACACACCAGTGCAAGTTCAAAGACAAAAGACAAGAAAAACACAAAGAAGAAGAAGAAGAAAAAAAATTGGTACCCTTTGGGCGCTTCTTGAGATGGTTTGAGCCGAAAAGCACTGAAGAACTTGGAGGTGAGATTAGCTGAGGTCGCCGGCTCGTAGCCTTGGAGCTCTCGATGCAAGCGCTCCAGAGGCTGGAGAGCTGCAAGCTGGCCATTGTCGTGCCGAATCGTCCCAGCTTTGACGAGCTGATGATAGGCGTCCAGCGGCGCAGTGCCGACTGGAATGTCCTCAATGCGCGCCGTGGAGGAGACCGCGCCATGGAGCTCGTGGAGGAAGCGATTGAGCAGCGTGAGTGAGGGCCTGGGCGAGCGCTGCAAGTGGCCGATGCTCAAGAACGCCATGGATGATCGATCTGGAGAAGAAAAGGAAGAGATTGCGATCGATCGCAAGCTAGACATCGATAGAGCATTTGCGCCAAACCTCGGCTCCTCTTTCTCAGTGCAGCATCGCCCGCCGCTTCACGCAAAAGCGTTCTTCCTCGACATTTAAAAAACCTAACGTATATTCTGACGGCATATGCTCTGGGTTTAGCATAGGGACGGAATGTGCGCTAGGGTTTATGGGTTAGGGCTTTAGTCGCCAATGGATTCGGCGCTGGCGCAGCTCAAGCTCGAGGCGCTCCTCGCCGAGATCCGTGTCGATTACGGCGATCTTGAGCCGGCAGTGGATGCGGCGATCGGAGCGGTCAAGGATGCTCTGATGAAAATCCCGGAGGAAAAGGTACCGCATTGTAGCGCAATGTGATTTTCAAAACATTTTTTTTTTCTCTTGAAGGTTCCAAGGTCGCTCGCCAGTGGATTCTTGGATGACCTTGGTGTTCCTGAGGACAAGTCTTTGCTCGAGTTTAAGAGACCCGAATCTTTCACTTTAGTCGGTAGCTACTCAACACGAACAATGGCAAGGCCTGCTACAGTCGTGGATTTGGCGATGCGTATTCCAAAGGTTGTGCTTTTGTGTTTGCTGTTTTATGACTGAAATGTTTTTCTTCTTCCTTCCCAGGCTTGTTTCTACGAGAAGGACTACCTTAACCATCGTTACCATGCTAAGCGCGCTCTTTACTTGGCATACGTTTTCAAGATCCTTTCCAAATGTGGGCTTTTTAAGAGCATCGAGTGGGCATTTCTTCACCATGATGCCCGTAAGCCAGTGTTGGTTCTTCACACAGGTAAATGATCTTTTTCTTTTGATGTAGCTTTCTAACACTGTATCAGTCAGCCTCAGGAATGTTTGACCTTCGTGTGATACCTACGATCTCTAGCAACGTTTTTGATATCTCGAAACTTGACGACGGAAGAAGTAATGTGCATAATGAAGGGACTGGAGAGCCGCTTCAGGCTACACCAAGCTATAACGGTAGCATCCTTGAGGACATGTTTGTAGAAGAACTCAGCACTGTGGAAAAGAACTTGTTATGCCATTCTGGAAGGTTGCAAGAGGCTGTGATGCTTTTGAAGGTGCGTTTTTTTTGCTTGTTGAGCTCCCAAGTTCACGTTTCTTTAATGTTTTTGAAGGTATGGTTACGGCAAAGGAGCTCTTATGCTCAGCCGGATACTATGAATGGATTCCTCCTATCGATCATGATTCTCCATTTGAGTAGTGTAGCCGGTGGTCAGCGGCTGTCTAATCACATGACGGCCTTGCAAAATTTTCGCGTTTCTTTAGAGATGATCGGTAATGACTTGCCTTGTGCTTGCAATGCTCTTGGTAATAACTTTTCCCTTACTCAGCGAAGTATGATGTGTTGGGAAAAGGCTTCAGACTAGAACTTCAGGGGACTGAAAGGAGACCAGCTCTGATGGTAAAGTGATTATGTTCTTTCCTCAATGTTTTATTTGTGACCCACAGGTTGACGAGTCTCGAGTTCTATTTCCTGATACATATGGAACGAATCTTTTGTTTCGGATGACAAAGAACTCATTGAAAGAGGTACTAGATGATCGACGTTTTTCGTTTTAACACTCTCCTGTTTCAGCTTAAGCTTTTTGCGGAGCGTACCCTCGAGGCCATGACCGCTGACAGTGGCTTTCAAGAGTCCTTTCTTGCGGCAGTTGAGTTTGCATCTTACTTTGATTGCCAAATCAGGTGAGTATGTGTTTTTTCTTGGTACTGGCGATGGACTAGAGTCACTGGTGCACTGCTGATTTTATAGTGCATTTAGCGCTGAAAATCGCCAATATTGACGTGTTGCATGAAGATACATGCAGTATTCAAGATGAATTTCTGCTCTATCAAAAGCCAACAGCTCCATAGCATTTCACTGAATCTAATTCTCGTTAACTTTCAGGCTGGAAATCGACGACACGTCGAAATGTGATTTCTCTAATGATGGGGCGTGGAGAGGAAGTGAAGGAAAGGCTGAGAACGTCCTAAGTAAAGCTTTGAAAGATAGAACAAAACTAGTGCGAGTTCTCAGGAGAACTATTGCGAGCGGCTGGAATCCAAAGAAGGTAAGGTGGCCGAATCTAGACGAGCTGTATTTAAATTTATGATTTGCCAGGGTCTGTCGAAGTTCCTGCCCTCGAAAATCCAGATTGGAGCTATACTGAACGACATAGAGAACGCCTACAGAATGGTTGATGTGGGGCCAAGCGCAGACAAAAAAGAAGAGGTAAACATTTTACTTGCTTTGCGCTCTTTCTAACTCAATGCTGTAGTAGTCAGCAAAATTTCGATCCTTTTGGGGTAAAAAGGCCGAGCTTCGTAGGTTCAAGGACGGAACAATTGCAGAAGCAGTTGGTAAGCTGAGCTAATCGATGCTGTAAATGCTCACTTGTTTTTATTTTCGCAGGGTGGGAGTGTGAACCATGGAAGCGTCATCTTATCATAGCTCGAGTTTCGGAATACATCCTTATCAGGCACTTTGCTGGCGCAGGACCGGTTGAAACAGTTTCTGACCAACTAGATTTTTCTTTACTAGACAAAAATCAAGGTGCGCGTTTTCTATATCCTCGAGTCTTGCTGTAGTCACAAGAGGTTTTGTAGATTCTATCGGAAGCACACCTAAGATTTTACAAGCGCTGGAAGAGTTTACAAAGCGCCTCAAAGCGCTTGCTCTTCCTTTAAAAATTTCCTCTGTACAACCTATTAGCGCTGGTAAGTCCTAATGCTTTACTGATCATGGTTTATTTATTGTTATTTTAGCTTTCAGGCATGCTGCAGTGTACACACCTCGGCCTAGGCATTCTACCAAGGGAGGTGTTGTAGGCGTGTTTTTAGAACCTTTGGAAGTAATGATACAGGTCTGACTCATTTGTCTTCCATAATGAACTGTATCTAATGTTCTTTTAGTTAGAGGGATCGGGTCGATGGCCAAACGACGTGATTGCAATCAAGAAAACAAAAGCGGCCTTTTGTTTGAAAATTGCGGATAGGTGAAACTTTTCCATGGATTGGTTTATGGCTGATTTCCTTCGCTTCTTCAGCATGCACAAGCAGTGGCATCTAGATTCTGTTGTATCTGAAGATGCAGTCGACATTTTGATGAATGGCTTTGCATTTCGGATTTCTATAGCCTACGAAAAGGATCCCACGCTTATAAAACACAAGGGTAAGGTTACTAGTGTGAATATTTCTAACAGTTATGGTCCACAGACATGGCGGCTATCAGTAATATCAGTATCAAGGATGATCTTATATTTCATAGCGTTCATTCCAGCACATTAAATGGCTTGCAGGGAAGGTGTCCCGCTTATGGTCCTACTGTCAGGTATTTTACGGCGTGTGTTCATAATCAGTTCTGACATAATGTATAGGCTTGCAAAGAGATGGATTGGTGCCCATCTTTTCTCCGACGTCATTACAGAGGAGGCTATTGAGTTGCTGGTCGCTTACATTTTCACTCGACCACAGCCAATGTTTCCACCTTCAACGAGAATTACTGGCTTTCTGAGGTAACACTAAAATCTTCAAAAAATTTCGAGGTTGCTATGATGATACCACATGACTGATCTCGATGAAGTTTCAGTTTTCTGAATGCGGTTAACTGAGCAACCTTCTCGTTTGTGCCTAAATGAGCTATTCATTTAACTAATCTGCGGCTTTTCAGATTTCTTAGATTGCTCGCAAACTATGACTGGCACCTTTCTCCTTTAATTGTGGACATCAACGGAGATATGTCTTCGAAAGATCGGGAGACTGTAGTGGTAAGTTGCATGGAGTTAAATTTCCTAGTTTGAAGACCTCCCTTGTACCAGGCTTTTTTCGAGGCTACTAGAAGAGGTGAACACGCCGACTTCTACGAGGGTTCAAAAGAAGGACCTGCTATGTTTATTGCCACATCGTATGACATGCAGTCGGTCACTTCTACAAGGTGTTCGCCTTTAAAGCCAGTAAGTGTCTTTCTTTGTGTTTGTTTGTATTGGCCAATTTTCTTTTCTCTTGCTTTACAGGCTCTGAAAAGGCTTGTTGCGTATGCCAAAAGCTCTGCGGCACTGCTAACGAGCAATATAACTGGAATGGACAACAGATGGCAGGTTTGTTGTTGCTACTTAATTTTCGTTGACGTTAAGTTGTCTACGTTTTCTTGCTTGTAGTCATTGTTTCGAACTCCACTGAATTGTTACGATACCGTCCTTGTCTTGCAACGGAAAAGCTTACCCCACCCAGGCCGTGTGCTTTTCTCTCCTGAGTTGGGGAAGCTCCAAGGTAGGCTGACAGCAGTTTTATGATCTTCTTTCTAAGACCGTGTTATTTACCAGCTGCGTTCGTCTGTCCGGATGTTAGAAGCCATCTCGCGTTCCGCACAAACCAGCTATTTGTCGGTTTCAATCCAGTCGTGGAGTTTGTGCAAGATATCAAGGTACAAATTGGCTTTTTGGTCTTTGCAAGAGGATGGTCTGTGGAAAAACAGGCAAAATTTGGTGACTACTATGACGTGTGGTACGACGTTTTGGGAAGCGACGTCATCGGACTCACCTTGCAAAAACAGGAGGTACAATTGTGTGAATGTCTGTATGTCTTGATGCTTATGCCTACGACGCTGCTCAGGTGTTTGTTGGAACTAAAAGAAAACGTAACGACGAGAACTCTATCGCGGAGAACCTCGTGAGTTTAGGCAAGGGTCTTGTGGCGAGCATATACTTGAAAGTGAAGGAAAAGTAAAATCACTGTAAACTGAGCAAGATTAAAAGCCTCTCGCCGATTTACTGATAAGAGGCAACTTGTTGATTAGTTCCGAGTGTTCACCTATAGAACAATGGTTTATTTAAAGCTGCGACCTTATCAGGGCTCTTTACAGTTTGTGTAGTTGAACTATCATGGTTTCCTCAGGTGATAACAAAAATTATATCACTATTTTTTACGAAATTACATGCATACAATTGCTTAGATTTGTGTTTCAAAAGTAGACTAACCCATGAAAAAGCTAGCAAGAACTTAGAATGCCTTTTTGTCTTTTTCTTGAGTCATGAATCTTTATAAGTGTATTTTATTTCTTGTGCCGCACTAGCTAGCAATAACATGATGATTTTAAAACAAGCTAGGTATAGTTGGACAGCTGTGCTAGACTTTACAAACTAATTATGCTGGATCATACTTGCAGATCAAAATAGATTTACACATGTGTATAAAAGTTAATATGTAAATTGACAAAGTCAGTTACCCCATTTTATCCAAGTTGAAAGTTGAACCCAAATTTAAGAAAATTTTATGCTAAAAAAAAAATCCTGAAGAAACAAAAATGCCAAAAAAATTATACTTTTATAATATAAATAGAATTTGTTACTATCATCATAAGTATACTTAAGAAAACTAAATTTTATACCCTTATAAATATTTTAAAGGATTAAGAGTATTTTTAAAGAGTGTATACCCTAAAAAAATTTGTTTTTTCATCCATGGATTAATTTAATTTTTATTTTATTATACATTACATTACATATAATGAAAGTCATGGCAATAAATGGATTAAAATTTTTATAACTTCTATAATAATAATCTGGAAAAATAATAATAAAAATCAATTATGGGACTATTATCATACATAAAATAATATTTAATTCTTTTTGGAAGTTACTCTAAACGCTTTTTATATTATGTAATATTTTCCTACAAAACAAGTGTGGAGTGGTGATAATATGAGTATATACAATCTTCAATCAATTGATTATTTAGCATATAATACTTCTGTACAAAAATATTTGGTTATATTTTAAAAAAGATAAAGTGAAGAATAAAAATTAAAGTTTTTGTCCAATACAAAAAATTATTTTAAATTTTGAACTTTTTGGGTGTGGCTTAAGAAATGGCCCAACACTATGTTACGTGAGCTCATTCTGGTCAGATTTACCCAGTGGAATTTGTTACCTGGGCAAAAATAGTCTAATAATTTTTATTATATATAGTTAAAAATATTAAATATAAAAATTAAATATTTGGAGTCTTACTTTTTTCTTAAAGAGTTTAGTACCAAAGAATTATCACTGTGATTTTTCTTATGGATGTTTGATTGTTAAACTAATATACATAAATATAATTTGATAAATTTAAATTTTACAAAACTACAATACTTTTAACAATTTTTTTGAGTCCAACAGAAAAAAATGTAAAAAGAAATTTTACATTTTCAATAGAAAATAAACTTGAAAAATATAAATAATTCACAATGCTCAATTCATCTTTCAAATCAAACACTTTACAAAATTGAATTAAATCATGCAATAAACTCAAATTAACAAAAAAAAGGCAAATAAATGACTGGTTTAAAGATTTGTTTATCTAAACTCAACTATTGTGGTTATGCTAAAAATCTTGTTCTGCTTGTGGTCAATGTGCTTCTATTAGTTAGTTTAGAAAAAAAAATGAAAAAAATAACAAAATAAAAGAGGTGATCTTCCTGGAATACAAATCAAGGTTATCTTCAAGGCTGAACCACATCAATGATATCATCAATTCCAGCTTCACACCTTTTACCCGATTCACAGATGGAATATTCAGCAACAAATTCTTACCATCCCTGTTTCCGCTTCTAATCCATTCCAGGTTTTGAAACTTTTCTTTCGAAACGAAAAGAAAAAGCTAGCAAGATAGATGACCATTTCTTGTGCAGAGGCCATGCTAATCTTCTCTGTATCGTCTGGTGTCACCAAAGAGACATAAATACTTAGCCTTCTGATGGCTCTTCAAAGGTACGAAACTATCCTACATCATGGCATCATGGTGATCCTAGCAGTTGTTTATAGCGTCACGGCAATCAGTATCTTCAGTCTGGGTTGCAAGCAAGACAAACCAGGGGTGCACGGACTTGGTTCCCGAAAAACTGTGAGCTTAGTAAAGAATCACATTTCTTTCTGATGAGGCTTGCATAGGAGAAGGGGGCATGAGCTGGGAGAGCTTCCGGCAGGGGATCGCATCGGCCCTCAAGTCCTGTGGGAAAGACACTGCCCAAGTGAGGCAAATCCACGCCAGCATTGTCGCCCACGACGCACACCTCCTGCAGCGCGACACTTTTCTCGCCAATCACCTCATCGACGCCTACGGAAAATGCAGCAGCAGCAGCACCGCACTGGATTGCGCAGTCGGGGTCTTCCGCGGCATTCATCACCCAAATCTCTTCTCCTGGAATGCGATCGTCGGGGCGCATGCCCAGATCGGGCATCTGGATCAAGGTTACAGTCTCGTTCTCAAGATGCCGCAGTGGCATCCAAATCCGTGTGCGATGATGATACGCGCCTTGGGATTAAGGCTCCGAGTTGCAGAAGCTAGAGAGTTGTTTGATCTAGTACCAGAGCGCGATAGATTTATATGGAACGTGATGGTCTCGGCGTATGCCCAGAGAGGAGATATGAACGAAGCTATGAAGCTGTTCTTGAGGATGGACGGCCGGGATGTCATCACATGGACGACCGTGATTCGTGGATTCGCTTTGCTCGGGGTGTTTCACGAAGCCGAGGCCCTGTTCGCGAGGATCCCCGCCGCCACCGCCGTGTCCTGGAACACGATGATCGTGATGAACGCCGAGAGGGGTGACGCTGTCCAGTCCAAGCGCCTGTTTGATCGAATGCCGGAGCCGACGATCGTATCGCGCACGGCGATGCTGGGCGTGTACGCGCAGGCCGGGCGGATCGACGAGGCGGAGGTGCTCTTCTCGGCCATGCCGGAGGAATCGCGCGACACCGTCTCGTGGACGACGATGCTCCAGGCGCTGGCTCTCCACGGCGAACTGGATCGCGCCAAGGAGGTGTTCGATCGCATGCCGTGCCGCGACGCGGTGGCCTGGACGACGATGCTTGCCGCCTTCTCCCAATCCGCGGGCAACTCCGACGTGAAATCCGCGGGGGCGCTCTTCCATCGAATGCCGCAGCGAGACGTGGTGGCTGGAAACGCGATGCTCGCGGCCTACGCCCACGGCGGCCTCGTAGATCAGGCGCTGGAGCTCTTCCACAGCTCCCTCCACGCCGCGGATCGCAACCTCGTCACCTGGACGACGCTCGTCGCGGGATTCGCCCACAGCGGCCATGGCGAGCTCGCGCTGGAGCTCTTCCAGGAGATGATCCTCGACGGCAGCGCAATGCCGGACGAGATCATCTTCCTCAGCGTCCTCGGGGCGTGCGGCCACGTCGGGCTCGTCAAGATCGCGAGGAGCTTCTTCCTTGCTATGGTTGCCGATCACGGCATCTCCCCGATCCTAGAGCACTACTGCTGTATGATCGACATCATGGCAAGAACTGGCAAGCTGGGCGATGCCGAGGAGCTCGCGAACTCGATGCCATTCCTGCCCAACGATCTCGTCTGGGCGAGCTTGATCGCGGCGTGCCGCAACCAGCAGGATCTGGAATTGGGCACTCGAATCGCGACGCAGGCGATCGAGCAGAGCCCCGGGAACTACACGGCCTACGTTCTCCTCGCCAATCTCCACTCCAAGGCCGGGAGATTCGAAGAGAGTGCCAGGATCCGCAAGCTCATGGCCGAGAAGGGGCTGACCAAGCAGCCGGGCGCTAGCACCATCCGGATCGATGGGCGGGTTTACAGATTCGTGGCCGGGGATCTCTCGCAGCATCCACATAGAGAGGAGGTTTTGGCGGCGGTGGACAGGATCTGTCGGCTGCTGAGGGACCACGGGGGACATTCCCCGGAGATCGCGGAGGTGATGCATGACGTGGCCGAGGGGGACAAGGTGAAGATCCTGTCGCACCACAGCGAGCGGCTGGCCATGGCGCTTGGGGTGGCGAGGACGAGCCCTGGAGCGCCGCTCACCATCGTCAAGAATTTGAGGGTGTGCTCCGATTGCCACTCCACGATCAAGCTGGCATCCAAGGCATTGGGGCGGCGGATCAGCGTGAGAGATGCGAGTAGATTCCATCACTTTAGCGATGGAAAATGCTCGTGCCAAGATTATTGGTAATTCTTCGAGTCCGCTGTCGGTTTTTAAGTGTTTTAAGTGTAGAGATTCGCATGAATTGGTGGAACTTGGTAAGGTTCCAATGTGGTTGACATGGCCGAGTTGGTCTAAGGCGCCAGATTAAGGTTCTGGTCCGCAAGGGCGTGGGTTCGAATCCCACTGTCAACAGATCTTTTTCTTTTTTTTGACCTCAGGAGCCCTAATTTCTTAAGAGACACATTTCGTGAGTTAGGGTGTGAGATTGCTGGAGATGATCGAGAACCAGGAGAGCATTTACAAGCTCATCCCACCTATCGTGCCAGTGCGCCAGAGGCCACCCATCCCTAAAGCAAACGTAAGCCTTTCTCTCATTCAATCCTGGCCTTGATTTGTCTTGCCTCCTCTCTCAGTATGACGAGGATACGGATAATTTCTTGACGCACCGCGATGAGATTAGACCAGCGGCAACTTTCGGTCGACCGCTGGGATCTCGCAAGCCTCACACGGAGAGGTTTCTCAAGAAGCATTCCAGCCAACACTATAAGAAAAGTGAGCCTTTTTTCTGTTCTTTTCTTAAAAATAAAATTTCTTCTTTTTTCAGAACCCAAAGTAGCCTGCTGCTACAAGTCGAAGGAAAGGCCGCCCATTCCACATGAAAAACCGGTTTGATTCCATGTCTCACCATAACTCGTAAGGCAACTTTTCTGTGTGATTTGTTTGTTTTTCGATCCAAGATCATATTCTTCACGCTTTGCAGAAAATGGGATTGAACAGTGGGAAGAATTACGTGCATGACAACGCTGTGGAGATGATTCATTCTAGTAAGTTCGCCAACTAGCAGCAAGTTTTACAAGTCCATGCTTCTAGCACCCAAGAAACTGCCCAAACCGGTGAAGTTCTACGTTGACAAGTCGGACTATGGCAAAGTTCCGGAGTATCTCGTCAAGTTCAATAACGCGAGTGCGGAACTGCGCGAGAAAATGCAAGCTGCTATCCGGCTGGAGCAACTTGGTGGCCTGCATCCAAACTCCCGCAAGTAAGTTCCATCGTCCCAGATGTTTCAAGCGTCGGTTTGATCGAGCTATCTCGGCGCTTTCAGGCTGGACGAGGCGGAGAAGCGCGAGCTGATCATACTGCTCAAAGAGAAGTGGCAACAGGTGAACGAGGAATACCAGAAGTTACCGTTCTCGCTGGACACTCCGGCCAAGAAGAAACGCAAGGAGAGGTGCCTATCATCACCACCCAGCTATGATCCTAGTTTACTTGACCATTTACTATGGATCTGTTGGATCAGGTACGAGGAGCATTTGGGCCAGATTGAGAAGGATATACAGACCTTGTCACGGAGGGTGGTGATCGTTGTTGACAAGGGGAAATCCCAATCCTCGGGAAGCTCTGGCAGGCGGCGCTAAACAAGCTGTCTGATACGAAGATGGCAAACACCTCGCCATGATCGTGAAACTCGTTAAATAACCATAAGATATATACATAAGAATCATATGGTATACAAACGAAAGACGTACCTATAAATCATTGTGAACGAGCCAAAATTTTCGATCGCGCTGCAAGGAACGAACGAGCGTCAGAACCGTCAAGGAGATCGTGCATACCTGCATCACTGTGCTATGAGGAGCTGCGAAGGAAGCTTTGGAGCAGCGGCGAAGAGAGAAGCCATGAGCGCTGCGAGACCCGCAGAGTTGTAACTCGTGGCCTCGTTTTGCATGGAGTTGTCCCTGTCGTCCACGAAGCTATCGTTCTGGAAAGGCCCACCGACGAGCGCTCCCTCGGCAATGTTTGGATTCGGAGTTGAGGTGTGCAAGTATTGGAAACCTTCCTTGCACTCCACCTCGCTCAAGGTCGAAGGTATGGACGCTGCCCTGTGGTGTAGTCTCAGCGGGTATTTCTTGCCATATCCAACAACGTAGCTCATTCCCATTGGATTCTTGCCGAGAATATAGTCGGCCTGTAGATAAACCACGTCGGCAAACTCAATAGAATGTATTGATTTACCTGGAAGCCGGCGAGCTCGCGAAGATGTTCCACCTGGAAGATCTTCCCCGAGCAGCTCAAGGTTGTGATTCCAGCGCTGGAGAGGTAATCGGCGTAGAGGCAGGACAGAAATGCCGAGTTAACAGCGTGCTGAATCGAGTTCCACTGGCTCACCCAGATCATTCCCGCTGGAATTCATCCACAACAAGACAACGGTGAACAAGAGAACTAAAAAGAACTCTCTGATAGCGATGCTGAGGTAGAGTGTCGTACCTCTTGTTCGGTTGGTACTCGTTGTTGGTGAATCCGGAAGCAGCGCACAGACGAGCTCGTCAGCAGTGGATTTGTACTTATCTAGCGCCGCGCCAACTTTGGTGTTTGCTTCTTGCGGCTGGAAGATATGCTTCCTTGCCAACAACACCTGCGAAAAGAAAACGATACTTAGAAGAACTTGGACGTGCTAGAAGAAGAAAACAATTCCTTTGGTCTTCACTTACTTGCAAGCCAGCCACCTTGTCGTCCCAGCTAAACCACGCAGGAGCTTTCCCCCATCCAGCATTGGGAGAAGCTTCTTTCCCCGTAGTAGCGTACTCCAGAAACTCTTCCTCTCCAGTGGCGTGATACAGCCACGCCGCCGCCCAGAGAAGCTCGTCCCCATAGCCGGTGGAGTTGTAGAACTGCTGATCCTTGACGAAGCTCCGGGTGTAAGATCCCCGGAAGCCATCCGCGAAGGAGAAGAGATCCTTGGCGTGGCCCAGCAGCTCGTCTGCGTAGGAAGAGTTGTCACTCCGGAAGACGAGCGAGGAGGCGGCCATGGCGGCCGAGGTCTCAGCCGCCACATCGCTGCCGGGCTTGGAGGTGTTGACGCTCAGGCACGGCCGCGGCGTGTCCATGGTCTCGGGCTTCTCCCAGCAGACGTGATCGCTCGAGGGGCTGCCCACCTGGAAGAAGAGCTCGTTCTTGGAGGGATGCGCGGCGACGAAGTAGTCCGTGAGCCACTGGAGGGATTCCAGCGCGGATTGGAGCTGGCCCGAGGCGTTGTAGCCGGATCGATACTCGAGGATGCTCCATGCCAGGATCGTGGCGGTGAAGGCCATGGGGAATCCAAACTTGACGTTGTCTCCGGCATCGAACATCCCCTTGCTGAGATCCAGGCCCACGTCCTTGCCGTCGAGCAGCGCCGAATCGCCGCGCCATGGAATGGGATTGTCCTTGGGGAGCTTCCCGGCTGCGAAATATCGAGCATTGATGAGCGGCTAGATCTTGGGAGCCTAGATCTTGGACATATTGGAGCAAGATCCAGGGGAGATCTAGATGGAGAGGGAAGAGAGCCTAGATCTTTCGAAATATCGGAGCAAGATCGATCGATCTTGGAGATTCTAGTGAAAAATCGAGAGAATCGAGAAGGAAAGAGGGATCGCGCTACTCACATTTCTGCGCATCCAAGAATCGCATGGCGAGCTCCAAGGGTTTGGAGAAGCGCTCCACGGATCCGAGCGGCTGCAACGCCGGATAGGACGGAGCGGCATTGCCGCCGCCATTGCGCCCGCCCGCCTTGCGATGCTGCGCAACAAAGATCCCTACGATGGAGCCAATGGCGATTGCCGCGACGACGATCGCCACCAGCCACCAGATCCAGCCGCCTCTAGTCTCCCGCCCTGCCTTGCGCGACCATTCGTCCTCCTCCGCCATGGATCCAAAGAGCTTAGAACTGGAGGAATGGATCGAGATGGATGGGATGGAGGGAATATGTATAGAAGTCTCGTTAGCTAGCTAGTCATCGTTGTGCTCCTTACAATGCCGCCATTCTACCTACACTCTCACTCCTATCTGGAAAGAACCTCCCAACCAAAGCTATGTTGACGCGGTCATAGATTCGTTGACCCATTTTGACCATCTAACGACACTAAAAGTTATTTAATTATTCCCACTACCATTTCATGATTTAGATTGCTCGATTTCGTGCGTTAGATCACTCCAGATGGGCCGTAGCATCGCCAGTGGAGGCCTGAAATGCTTGGATCAAAGCAACCAAGAACCAAGATCACTCGCTGCCTAGATCAAACGAGTGGAAAAATCTACCTCGAAGACGAGCGTGAGCGCGGGCTCCTGGTGGAGTACCAATGCCAGGTAGAAGTAGCACGAAAATGGCGTCACTGCCTCGTTGATCACCGCGGCCAAGAGCTTTTGCGTTGGTATGAAGCTATAGCGAGTCTTCCCACTGTGGCGGTCTTAAGAACAAAGAGAAGGGGGAGGAGAAATCTTTGTGGCAAACCTTGTGTATTTCGTTTGGAGCTGGATTCCCAGCGTCGGCATGAGCACCACAGCCTCTGGAATTCACGCGAGGAAACATTCAATCCAAACGAGCAATTCCAATTCATACCTTCCGTGACGAGAAACCGGCGCCGGAGGATCAATCCTGTGGAAGAAGTAGCAAGGAGCAGCGCAAGGCTATGCAATTCCTGGAATGAAGAGAAGAAGCCTAGCATTCTCAAAATTTCTCCCTGGAATACCGACCACCAAGTGAAATGCCGCAGAGATCACGAGCAGCAGCCATGGAAGAAGCCGCGCCGCCTCGCTCGCAAATCCCTTGCATTGCCTCCGGGAGATCCTATGCACCGATACGAGCTCCGACTGCTGCAATTCGTAGCAGTAGCGCATCGGATCGAGCAAAACAAGTTAGGGCTCTTGTCTTCCGGGAATTTAGGGCTTAACAGAAGATTAGGGTTTTTATTTCTCTTCGTCTCCCGCGGCACGATGGAGGAGAGATCGAGCGGATCGAGGCGCTAGCCGCGAAATTTCAGGTAAAGAAGATGCAAGAGCATCAGCAGCAGCAGGAATCTCAGTCATGGTGGAGCGAGATCACTCAAGCTCGAGCTCGGATCGACGCATTGTCGGCCATTCTCGGCGGATTTCCTTCGCTGGAGCCGCTGCGGGCCTCGGAGACCCCGGCGCGGGATCTTCTTGGCGACTCGGCCGTGGCGGACGTGGTGATCTCCAAGCTATCTTCGCCGGGGGCAGGGAAAGGGGACGATGAGCTCTGCCAGTGGATGTACGAGACATACCACTCGGGCGATCCGGAGCTCCAGAGCGTGGTGGTGCGCTTCGTGCCGGCGATTTGCAACGCGTACCTCCCCCGCGCGGCCAGCAAGCCCGGACAGTCACTCTCAGGATTCGAGGCCGTGCTCCTCGCGCTCTACTCGTCCGAGCACAAGATCCGCCAGGGGAAGGGAATTCTCGTGACGATTCCCAATCTCTCGCAGCCCAGTCTCTATCACACGCCAAGAGTTCCTTCCAGCTCGGCCACCGAGATCAAGGCCGGGTACTATTCCCCGTCCTTGCAGCCACAAGAGGCCGTCAAGACGACCAAGAGGGCTGCGATCGTCGGGGTGGCGCTGGACCTCTTCCACCGGAAGATCGCAGCGATGCCGGACAGATCCAAGCTCGAGCTTTGCTGCGCGATCCGGGAGTGGGCGATGCGGGGCTGCTCCTGGGCCGAGAGAGTGGACGAGGTGGCCAAGCTCGCGCTGCTCCAGGCCATCGCTCCCGGGCCGGACGTGACTCTCACGGGGCACGTCACCACAGTGGGTCCTTCGTCGTCGACCAGCATCTTCGTCTCACGCCAGAGCTTCGACGACGACGAGGACGAGGATGGCGATCACAAAGAGCGAACTTTGAGAATACCGCTGCCGTGGGAGCTCTTCCAGCCGATTCTAAAGATCCTGGGACACTGCCTGTTGGGCCCGAGCTCGTCCCCGGAGACGAGAGACTCCGCCGGCGCCGCCGCCCGAGCTCTCTACGCGCGGGCCACGCACGAGATCATACCCGAGGCGATTCTTCCAACTCGGGGCTTGCTACGGCTGGACGAGGCTGCAAGAGCCGCGTCGCTGGCTGCTGCCACTGCGGTTGCCTCGGCGTCTACGAATTCGACGCCTTCCAAGCCGAAGAAGCCCGAGGTTCTTCTCACACCCGGGAAATAGTTCGAGGTATTCTTCCCACTTTTTTTTCCTCCGCCACCAAGTGATAAACGTTGCTGCTTTGATAGAGGCAGCTCCAAAACACAGATATACGGTCCGGGCTTCTTCATAGGCTTTGATGTTACGTTGCCATACGTTGCCAGTGTAATACTAATTCGTCACACACTTACCTTTCTCTTTCAGCCTCTCAAAACTGGTTACTTCTGCAGCGACTTCTTGATGGCTCGGATTGTCGCTGGAGTTGTCCGGCAGCAGCCTCCGATGAGTGAAGCTCCGGCCTTTTTCCACTCTCCGACGTATGACACAAAGTCCACGTCCGAGACTCCGGTAGACGGCTGGAAAGACGAAAGAGGAGTTCAAAAGAGCTGCGAGAAGAACTGGAAAACTTACGATCCATTGCTTGGCGTCGGGATCAAACGTTTCTCCACTGTTTGGATAGACGACTATCGGTTTGTCCGTCACCTGTTTGGTTTGATCGCATCGAAAGCTTATAGAAGTTCAAGAGTTGGAATACCTTCCGAGCAGTAGAGACGAGGCCGTGTATGAATCGAGGAGGCGTGCAGTTTATACCGACGGCGGCCACTTTGGCGCTCTTGGCTGCCAGAGCGACGCATTCGCTTAATGGATCGCCGCTCACGACGTTGGCACCGTCTTTAGAGTTGAAAGATATCCAACTGGGAATCTGGATATCTTCTTCTTCCAAAAGCTCCACCAGTGCCTGGAAAAACTTCTGAGCTATGGCAAGAAAAAAAACACTCTAACAGGCAAACCTGGGCCTCGACTTGGCATGGAATTGTTTCGATTGCTAGCAAATCTGCTCCAGAAGAAGCGAGAATTTGTAAGCGCCTGCGATGGAATCCTTTCAGCTTGGCTACGTTCATCATCTCCGGGCCATACTGTCCACTGCGAAACAAAAAAATGTTTGATCAAACCGAGAGAATTACTTCGACAGGTTTGATACCTGTACTCGGAGCCATCTGCGAGATAAGCTCCATAGCTCCCAATAGAAGCCGCCACCAAGGCTCGATTGTAGCGAATCTCTCCCGAGCTGTTGTTCTGCTTGACTTTGTCCCAGAACTTGTCACGCACTTGACAAGCGATCGCCACGCTTTTTTTGAGCATTTCCTCTCCTTCCTTTTCGGAGAGGCCCTTGGAAACAAATCCCTGGACTGTTGCCTGTGCGAGCAAAAGAACTCTTTTGCGAATAAAAAACGAAGAAAACACTATTTTTCCAATCTCAAACCTGATAAGACGACGACACGAGTATGTCCGCTCCTGCCTCCAGGTAATCCCAATGAACCTGGACACAACGAGAGAAAAATTTCACGCAAAGACGACGATTCCTAACAGACCAGACCTTCTGGATCAGCTGTGGCCTTGTGATCAAGCACAGCGCGCTCCACAGTGGATCATTAAGATCCGCGCCACAGTGCTCGAGCTGCGTCGCCAATCCGCCATCGAGAACCGCGCAGCCGCCGGACGATTCTAGCAGCTCCTCCAGCTTGTTCTTCCCGGCGCCCATCGCGGTGAGAATGCCGTCGGGCTTCCTCGCAAACCCTGGAATTTAGAAGCTGACCTAAATGCATATGCTTCCAATTTAAATTTGGCCGAATTGATGTAAGTTGGCGGGAAATGCAGAGTATATTCGATCCCTTTCAAATATTATGATTTTGGCACCACCACGTACATTTTGATGGCGTGCGCGTCCACAGCCTCTTCAATGTAGCCTTGCGAGAAAACTCCCAAATCCTTGTGCTGGAAAGAAGAAAAATCAATGTCCAGAGACTCTAGGATGAAAATCTTCCACTTACCGCCCAAACATCTCTCACTTGGACAGACGAACCGGGCTTTGCACCGATTTGTTCCCAGTACGCGCGGATCTTGGCGGTGGAATCTCCTTGGTTGAGTAGCAGCGCCACGAATTTACCTTGCGAGAGAGGTCCGCCCCATACCTGGACGATTCTTTTGAGACAATCGCGATAGAAGTTTCATTACTAGTCTTGCCTCTAGAGCGCCCTTCCTGCTGACTCTTTTGCCTTGGACTCCCATAGAATCTGGAAACAAAAAAAAAAAAAAAATTGGTAAGCGATGGAAGAGAGAAGAGAAGGAATTTCTTGGTTCTCAGACCTTGGTTGATAGCAATGACCTCCTTGTTCATGAGAATGTTGAGATACTCTTGCTTTAGATTGCGCACATCGCAGCCAATGATCAATGGGGCCTGGAACAAAACGAGAGTTAGAAATTGGTGGCATTCTCGATCGATCGATAGGGACCTTCATGAGCGCCCAGAGGCTGAAGTGTGTGCGGTACTCCTCCAAGCTCATGCCACCATTGCCGACCTCGAGCATGTCGGGATCTAGAACAAGAAATGCGAGCGCGCAATGTCAGGTTCCCTCTCTTTTTTTTCTCTTGCTCTTTGTGACAATTTCGCGATCTATTACCATTCCAGCCGCCGGGCCCTGCGTATTTCGCCCATTTGTCGTTCTGATCCGCGCGCACGATCATCCTGGGGATTGAAGGTATCTATCAGAGGTCAGCATTTCTAGTGCTGGTCTTTCTTACGATTTCCAATTGTCTTTGATGTCTCCCGTTGTTCTCCAGCTATTTCCCACGCCGGGAGCCCAGAGCGCCGGATCTTCGTAGCCCCTGAAAGGTTCCATCGCGTGATTTCTTTGGAAAACTCTCATGGGTTGTAGATTTTTTTAATTTTATTTTTGCGTACCATTCACAGAGAGCGTAGAAAATTGGTCGACCGGTTGCGAGGAGGGCTTTTTGCATTTTCGGGTACCTGGATGTGCAAGGATTGAGGAGCAACAAAACAACAACACTGTGGTACGTTACCGGATTTTTGGTGAGGCTCCATCGTTGTGACAGTTATCATACTTTAGAAAGTCTACACCCTGATAGATAGATAAAACCATTAGCACTTCCTTCTCTTTTTCTTTTTTTCTTGGTTTCCTGGGTCTCATATCACTCTAGAGAGCATCTGGCATACCCATGCTGCGAAAGTCTTTGCATCTTGGTTCTCAAAGTTTAGTGATCCAGGTTGAGTTTTTGCACAGGTGAATCGCCTACAAGATAACAAAAAATAAGTGAAAAAGAGAGAGACTTTAGCTCATATGTACCCCGCATCCGAGTAAATTCCAAACTTGAGGTTCTTGGAGTGCACGTAGTCTGCAAGATTTTTTATCCCGGATGGAAACCTGTCCTTGCGTGGTTGAAGATTTCCCTGCAGTTCTTGGAGAGTTTTAGCTTGTTTGCCTGCGAGTGATCTGGTCAGACCTCTTTGTCTCGACTTTGTTCGGCCCATTCATCATCTGCAAGGTTTTTTTTTCATGAGAGAATCCAGGACACTCTGATTGATCTCTAATATCGTTACCAATGTTGATGTAGTTGTAACCCAGCGCTGCCAGGCCAGTTGAGACGATAGCGTCGGCTACACAAAGTAAAGGGGTAAACAAAAAAGAGATCGTTCTAACGCGGAGATACCCGTCTCGCGAACGATCGTTTCATTGATCTTGTTATGGAAATGGTTGAAATCATTCCACCTGAGGTACACCATGGAGCAATTCTTATTCCTAATCGAAACTTACTTACCCCATTGGTGGTGTTCTTCCCAGGCCATTTTCGAGGAGCACACTTCCATGATGTCGAGGCAAGTAATTCGCCGTTGTGAGCGAGATTACGAGTAGTAGTGGTACTATTCTAGCAAACCATTCTCTAAACTCTTCCATGGTTCGTTTGCTTTCCAGGTCTCTACAGCCCCTCCTTTAAATTGCTGAAGCCCAAGAACGAAGGTTTGTGACGTTGTCTCCAAGTCGTTTGGCGAACCTCCAGCCATGAACCTTTGTCGTAGACTTCTTTTGGCGGGTACCATATTCGTCGTGTGTACTTCTGTCTTCGTGGAGTAAAATGGTGATGCCGTGTACTTCTGTCTTCTTGGAGGAAAATGGTGACGCAGCGATAGCGCATGTAGAGTGGACGATTGTCTTCTTGGAGTAACATAGTGATGGAGCTGAAGTGCAATAGAGTGGATGATTGAGCGCCATAGCAAACAACATACACACTCTTCAGGAAGCTTCCAGTTTTGCTGATAAGAAGAATGTACCAGACTTCACAAAACAAATGGTATCATAAAAAATAATTATTACTTTCTCACTTCACCAAAAAAATAACATACTAATACATACGTTTAGTAAAATGTATCATGGAAAAAGCAATCATGTCTGAAAGAAAAGGCATAAAATTGAAAATGTTAAACGTACCACTTATACTATGCACTTAATTAACCAAATTTTGATAGTTTTATTTATTTCATTAATATAATATAGTAAAGAAATAGAAAGGGTTAATGTATAACATAAAAGATCAAATAAATAAGAAATAAGAAAGATCACCATTTCCAGGTTAAAAGAGGAACTTACCAAGCTCAAATAATCATTATCAACCTTACTAACACTTTTTTTTTCGTTTTTATTAAAGCAACTGCATAGTACAAAAAATTATTAATATGAATATAACATGGAAATAATTCTTGAAATTGTGAAAATCTTTTACTACTTTAGCCACGGAATTAAATTGCAAGGTTTCTACCCTTCCCAATAACTCCAGTTTGCAAGAGCCAACAACAGCCAGAGCATAGGCTTCAGGAATTTTTTTGTGTGTCTTCTGCTGATGATGGCAAATGGATAGATGGTTGTTCATGACAAGTTTTGGCTACTGAGCTCTTGTTGCTTGCAAATCAAAGTCATAAACCTTGAAGCTGACAAGCACTTGACCCTCACCTCCATCAGGATCCAGGAGAGTGACTTGCATGAAGATTTACTTGCTATTGTTAATCTTACAGGTCTAGAAATTATGTTTAATGGTACTAAACTGTTAAAACAGAAACAGCCATTTTCAAAGATTGGTCTATAGTATTTTCATTGGCAAAGTCTGTATAGCATACATCCAGATTTTCAATCCCTATTTTTTATTCTTGAATGAAACAATATACTATTTATGAAACTTGTTGAGAAACACTTGACACTCCTTCACACACTCCACAAGAAGCTTTCCGTCCCATTCAACCCAGGCTTTGTGAATCTCCACTATATCATAGTCTTGATTTTTCTTCAGATACACGCATCCATCATTTGTTGCCACAACCAGTGGGAACTCAAGTTCCTCCTTACCTACATGTATAGTGATCCAGTCTCACCTAGTAATATCATACACCTTGCATGAAATAGCATAGTTAGAGCCCACTGTTTGTCTCCAATCACCCCAAAGGGCTCAATGTAGTCCTAGCCACCACACAAGGCAATGAAATACCATGTGTTAACGAGCTCCCAAGCTCCAAATCTTGGTAGACACAAAGTATCCCATGGCGCTCAAGGTGGTGGCTGTTGGCCAGGACGTTGTGAACCACAGGTCCAGTGCCAACACTCACCCATTCACCCTCTTGGAGCTTCAATACCTCACCTTCGTTCACAAAGGTAGTGGCCAAACCCAATTGCCACCATTTCTAATGCTTGAGATCCCACTTGCTAGATGCTACTATTTCCTGGTGTTGGATCCACCCTAAACACTTTCTTGGAGTCAAAGCCTTGGCACCAAATTGTGCCCTTGCACACGATGGAAATCCCAAATCCTGTTGTCCCTCTGGTTGGATAGTTAAGGAGTTGGGAGTGGCTACCATGCAATCTAGTGAGCTTGATACTTGTTGTTATGCCTATGTAGCCTTGGAACTGAGTATAAATTGCACCAGAGATTGCTATTGTGTTTGCTGAACTAAAGAAAACCTAGACAATGTAATTGTACTGTTCAGACCTTGAAAACAATTGAAGTTATGTTTGATTGACGTAAGATGTGATGTGGAGATGCACAAATATTCCTCAAGAGCCATGAGAGGAGAATCTACACTAGAGGAAATTAGCAGGAGAGCTAATTATAAAAAAAAGGGCAATAATAGGAAAAGATTAGGCTGGGCCTCACTCTTTTTTTGAAGTGTTTAACAACATTTAAAAGTGTTCTTTAAAGTTATTTTAATAAACAATGAAGAGATTATAAGTGTTAATAAGATTGCATTTGGTTTTTTATAAGCTTTAGAGTGTTTTAGAGAGCTTTCTTTATAGCTCATAGTTGGCTATTAGCAACAAAGTGTCCCTAAGCAATTTTGTAATTTTTGTTTGTCTTTCTTGCAACTCTCTAGATTCTCACTTAGGTGTAGTGTAGTAGAATCTATATGGTACAGCACCTCCTGGCCTCAATTTTAATAGAGACAGGTTCATTGGGTTTTCATGAACTCCTGAATTTAGACTTCCCAGAAGGTCATTTAACTTAATATTATTCAAACACAAGGATGCTTAACCCTAAGTATCCTAAAACCTTTAACTAATTAAAAAAAATGTTGCACTTTTATTCATGGGCCTTTTTTCTCTATATTTGAACCCATATGGATTATCCTTAGAAACTTTCTCTTTAATTGTTTATAATCCACTATACTTCCTTATAAGTTCACGCTCTCATAAACTAAAAGAACACCTGCCTTGCTCTTTTAACACCCTACCTTTACCCAAAGTAAACTAAATTTGCCAGATATCAATCTTAACACATAGTGTGGTTCTTTTAACCAACTAATAGATCTGGACTTAAGACCTTTCTAATACTAAATGTAAGCTCCTGAATTTGGACTTATTGGGTTGAGTGAAATGTAAACTCCTAAATTTGGATTTTTTAGGAGGTCACCGAACCCAATATTATTCAAACTTAAGGATATTTAACCCCAAGTATCCCAAAATCTTTAATCGATTGAAAAAAGGGATGCACTTTTATTTATAAACCCTTTTTCTCATATTTAAACTTATACAGATCATCTCTTGAGTCATTCCTCTTGGTTGTTTACAATCTTTAAATCTCTGTTACTTTTGTTCATGTTTTCACATTTTTGGAAAAACTCGCCACATAACAAGCCATAGGGCGGAATATCCATTAGTGTTAAAGGCCAATAAGGGTGAGTTCAACTGTTCCTTCTTCCTTGGTATCAAAGGGTAGTAATATATATATATTAACATTTGTCATATAAAAAGTGGCTAAATAGAGAAATTTGTTAACTTTTTTTAGAAATGGTAAAAGAATCTCTAAGATTCTCGGGAAGGAGTAGTTTGCTCTATGGTAGGGGGAAGTTTGACTCTGGGAAAAAAGACGATTCTTGGAGGAGATTTGAGTATGCACTTGGGCAAACATTAATGAGGAATAATGGGCCAAGAGGTAGTAGCAAGAGGATTTAATCTAACTTTTAGTGGACTTTCAAGAGGAACTTTAACAACATCACCAATAGTAATCACACCAGGAGCTAAATTGCTAGGAAGTTTTAGGGTAATATCAAGGACCTCTTTAAAAGCTACTAAAAAACCCTCAAATAATCATAAAAGGTGGTTCCTTTCAAAAGACATTCTAGTCTCATCCTTCTTCACACCTACTTTTATTCTGCTCTCCTCTATAAGAAATGGTCCTCTCTTACTACCCTATTTATGTTGTGAAGAAATTCATTTAATTTCTTACTTCTTTCTAATATAGGTATCATCATGTTTCTTTGTTGATTTTTTCACCAAGCACCATATACTAAGCCACTACTTTTTTAAATGTATCTTTATATCATCTAAAGGTTTGTGCCCTTCTATTAATTTCTTCTCTCCATTATGCTTCTTATAAAGAAAAAACTTAATATAAAGGTGGAAAAATTTATTTGGATAGCACAAAGTTATTGTGTTATCCTTGCCACCACTTAAGATGCTGAGTGGTACAACTATCTTACAAACAATCATAATTGTGTTTGATTGACGTGGCACCTAGGGTGTGATATAGAGATGCATAGATATCCTTTAGGAGTCATGGGAGAAGAATTTGTGTTAAAAGACAGCAAAAATCTAAAAGAAATTAGTGGGAAGAGAAGTAAGTTAAGCCTCATCCCTTTTTTAAAGTGTTTAACACTGTTTAAAAGTGTTCTTTAAAGTGATCTTAGTGAGTAGTGAGGAAATTGTTAATGTTAGCGAGATTGCAATTGAAGTAGTTTTTTATGTTGCAACAAATAGTATGGCTTCATATTAATGAACAAAGCTAAATTGTGGATGCTTATTGTAGCGCATAGAAGTGCAATGTCTACACAATAAAAGGATTGGTAAATTTAGTGCTGGTTCCTCTTGGCTTAGTAGGGGTTATTAGTCAATAGTCAATAAGGACATTGACATCTCTAAAGGGGGAGTGAGTGTAGTGCATGTAATCATGGGATAAGATTTAAATATACTGTCACCATGGATCCTTAGAACCTTAAAGGATAAATGGGGATAAAATAGCCACTAAGGGCTTTCTCATCAAGCAATTGCCCCTTTTTTAGTTGGCTTAAGGGGAGAGAAATAGGGTTTGATACACTTACAAAGTTTCACTTCTCATGGAGTAAATTAGTTAATCAATTGAAATATGAGCAATTTTATTACCTTTTAAGTAAGAAATGCATTATACTCCTATAGTGAACATATATTGCAGCAACACTAGAGAGCTCCAAGTAAATGTAGATGGTCTTGTAACCAACTTTCTCTTAACCACAACATGAATAGGATGTTGTGGACCAAGAGCTTCAAAAGCACAAACAAACATTTGCTCATATTCCCGATATTTAAGATCATCGACAATGCTCAAGCTCACTCAAACTCCTCTTGTGCTAGAGAGTATGGAGTTTAGAAGAGTTCTATTC